TCTCCTGTGTGTTTTTCTTCTGCCCTTGAAATTTTTTCCTTCGCTTTAGAACTACACGTAGACACAGCAGTTAGTACAGTTCCAGTATCTGGGTAAATTTCTCTCTGTGTTTTTCCCACCTAAAGTTTCCCCCCTCCTTCACCCCCAGTTTCTTTGATCTGTGGCTCAATATCTTTCTTCACATGTGGAAAGTTTTCGGCCATAATCTCTTCAAATCCGTTTCTGCCTCTTTCTCTGCTTCTTCTGGGACTCAGTACGTGTATGTTTGTGTGCTTGGCAGCAGCCACAGATCTCTGAGGCTCTGTTTATTTTTCTTCAATCTTTTTTTCTTCTCTATTTTTCAGAAATGTACCTTCTATTGATCTATCAATCTGGCTTGAAGTTTACAAGTTCTTTTTCCTACCATCTCAAGTCTGTTGTTGAGCCAATCTAATAAATCTTTCAGTGTTGTTTTTTTCATCTCTTTTTTTTTTTTTTTTTTTTTTTTACTAACTTCTATCCAGGCCCACTCAGAACTGGTTTCCATTGACTGCTGTTTTTCCCCCATAGTGCAAGGCTCCCTTTTCAGTTTCATGGCATGTCTAGTAATTTGTGGTTGCAAACTGGACATGTTTGATAAACATCTAGCAATTCTGGATTTGTTTAATTTTTTGAGGGTTGTTGGTTTTTCAGTAACTTGCCTAGACTTAAACTGTGGAATCCGTCTTCTCCTTCATGATGTGTAGCCACTGATGTGTTTGATCAGTTTTTTATTTCTTATTTTTATCTTTTTAACCCGGCATTCTAGGAGTCATCCCTGGGTCTGCATGGTTTAGTGATCAGTCAGCGACTTGGACAGAGGTCGTGCTCAAATGACTTGGGTTGCTAAGGGTCCATATGTGTAGGTTGTAGAAGGACACAAAGTTTGAATCAACTCTCAAGCTTCTCTTCACTTATTCCAGGTCTTCCTAGCACAGATGTAGATTTCCAGTCAGCCAGGAGAAAAGAAAGAGCGTATTTCAACCTTCCTCATTTCCTGGATTGCCCCCATTAAAAATCTGATTAGTTCACCTCTCACCCTAACTTGAAACAAAACATTAGGCTAATAGAGCCGTGGATGTTACCCATTTATTAGTTCACTACTATACACTGTCTTTTGTCTGTTTTGTTTTGTTTTTTTGTTTTCTCTCTTGGTTTCTATTTATTTGGTGGTGTTTCCTGGTATTTTTTTTTTTTTTTTAATTGGAAGCCGGGCATTAGAAATACAATTTCATGTTGTGGATGGTGCTATCTTCCTTCGTAAAAGCAGACAGGTAGGGGCATATCACCTTAGTCTATCCTGGAATAAAAATGATTCAAAGTGGACTCCGTCTTTTTTGCAGGATGGCCTATTTCAAGTTTATCCCTACTCCAAGGGTCTAGCTCTTTGAAGCACCAACTGAAACCCAGGATGTTTACCAGGCCTGCCTTCCTTGATGCACATTACACCCTAGTGTTTCTCTCCAGTTTCACACAACTGCCTGAAGCTCTGCGTGGCATGTTAGCCTCTTACTTGCTGATGTCTCTTGTCAAAGATTTGGCAAATGTTTCTAGGGTAAAACCAGCACCAAATGTTGGGCCCATGCTCTTCACTTCCCTTCTCTCTGGCTATTGACCCCTCCAGTTCTTGCTGCCTTTTTGACTCTCAGTGGAAGGGCACGATCACGCATGTGCACACACACAGAGAATGTGGAAATGCACAATAGGATTTCTGCAGAGGGAAAAATCAAGGCCCAGAAGATCCCATAGTGTTTGCAGGAAAGAGATGTAGGGATCCATCTACTGTCTTCAAGAACAGTCTCCTTTGAGCCCCTTTAAAGCCTTTCAGAGCTAGAGTCAGCAGATGGAGACTCTCAACCCAATCCTACTTCTTGAAAGAACAATGTTAACTACTTCTGCTACGAAATTATGCTAATAATGATCGCTTTCTCTCTGGATTGTTTTGATAAGGAATAGCACCTTTCCTCAAAAGGAACATATTTCAATATACACCTTGTGCAGGCACTGGGCTAGGTATTCTGCTTATGTTATTTGATTGAAATTTTTTTAGAAATTATAGAGAGCTGAGTGTATTAACAGTCATAAAAATCTTTCTAAGGAACCTACTTTTTATAGCAGGGGACCAAAGGGTTTCTTTGAGGAGAGATTTGTTTGTTTGTTTGTTTGTTTGTTTGTTTCTCAGGCTTAGAGCCTGGAAGACTAGGATATGTGCTGAACAGGACATCTCTCAAAGACAACGGGATAGTTGGCTTCCAGCACCAATGCTCCTTTACCTGTGGGATTCTGGCAAAGCCCAGTGAAGAGCTTCAGCAACAGCCGACCTGACATCTAGAGGCAGATCCCAGGCTCCCATCTGGGCTTCCTGGGGCTAAAGGCTACTGCTGATCCCCAGATGCCATTTTACTGTTTTACCTTGATGATCTCTTTATAGTAGCAGAATAGATTGAGCATTGATTGGTTGGCGAATAATGGCCATGGGGCCAAATCCGGCCTTTTGCCTGTTTTTGTATGGCCTGTGGGCTGAGAATAGATTTTACATTTTTAGATTTTTTTTTTCATGTAGATGTCCATTTGTTCCAGCACCATTTGTTGAAAAGGCTCTCTTTTCTCCATTATGTTGCCTTTGCTTCTTTGTCAAAGATCAGTTGACTTTACTTCCATGGGTCTGTTTCTGGGCTCTCTACTCCATCCCACGGATCTCTTTGTCTGTTTTTCTGGCAATACCACATTGTAGCTTTATAGTAAGTCTTGAGGTTGGCTAGTATCAGGCCTCTGACTTTTTTCTCCTTTGATATTCTGTTGACCATTCTGGGTATTTTGCCTTTTCATATACACCTTAAAATCCGTTCATTGATATCCACAAAGGTTTTTAAAGGTTTAAATGGTTGGGAAAAATAGAAGGGTATTTCATGACACATGAGAATGATATGAAATTTGAATTTCAGTCTCCAGAAAGTTGATCTGTTTACATGTTGTCTATGATGTCTTTCACACTACAATAGCAGAACTGAAGACCGAGACTGTATGGTCTGCAAAACCCAAAATATTGACTATCTGGCTCTTTGCAGAAAATGTTTGCCGATGCCTGATCTAGATCTTAGGCTGTGACTTACACTTAGGTTGTTGGCTATGAGCACAGCCCACAGAACCAGACTGCCCATTTTCAAATCCTGCAGTCACCATTTGCTAACTGTGTCACCTTTAAAATGTCACTTAAGCTTTCTGATGCTGTTCCTTATCTATAAGGTAGGGCTAATAGCATTTATCTCAGAGAGTTGTCATGAGGATGAATGAATTATTTCATGTAAGTCTTAGGATGCCTGACGTATAGAAGCTGCATATAAGTGTTAGCTACCATATACATTTGTATCCTAGCTTAAAAAAAATAAGTCTCTCCTCCTTGCCCTGCTAATTCACCAACCCTACCACCCCCAGAGTGATGATCATCTTAAAACACACGTCAACACTCCTGTCTCTGAAGATCGGTCATGGCTCCCTGTTGCTCACGGAGGAGTCTGGCGTTTGCAGCTCCATAGCCCAGCTGCCTGCCTCTACCCTCCTCTACCCTTCCCTCCACTTACAAATCTGCTCCAGCCTTTTCTAGCATTCTGTCCCTGTCCACACCCCTGTTCCTCCCTGTCATGTGGCTCTTTCTGCCCAGAAAGCTTTCTTCTGGGAATGTAAGGATTATCACTGAGATCTGGGGCAAGTTACAGCAATCATTCCTGCCGTGAGCTCCAATATGGAAATCAGTGCCTGATCTCACAGTGGGCATGAAATGGAAATATACTCTCGCTGCTTATGAAACTCCAGATAAATACTTTTCAGGGTCAAAAGGTAAAGCTGCAGAAGACGGCAGAGGTAGAAAAGAAATCGAGCCATCTCCCTCAGGTCAGGCCCCCCACTTTGGTGTTGTCTAATGCTGTTTGGGCCTTCTCACATGGTACATCCTTACAGAAAGAGTGTACCAGGGGCAGAGAACTGGGCAAGGAAAGTCAGAAGACACAAGGGACCAGGATTTATGATTAGGTATCAGTATCATAAACGTATCATGAAGCTGTTAAAGTAAACATCAACATTACATAGCAATATAAAGAATACTCACAATACAATATTAAAGGGAGCTTGCAGGATATAATGTAATCCACACTGATTATAACTAAATGGAAAGAGTGCCCCGTCTGGAGCCTGATGATAGACCCAAGAGAGTGAACAATTCACGTTTGGTTATTGGGGTAGTGGCACTGTGGGCGAATTTTTGTTCCTTTATTTGGAGGGCTGTTAAAGGTACTATAGTGTTACTTGTGTATTTCAAAAATTAAATGTTTTATGGGAAAACTCTTTGGCTTACACACTTAGGATGAGTCTTATCATATGTAAATTATATTTTGAGAAGGTAAAGAAAATGTAAATATTTTGTGAGACTGCCCCAAAGTCAGCTGGGAGGAAGAGAATGTCTTTGAGGTTTGCGGTTTCTCTACCTGCCTTTTCTTCCCCCTCCACCTCACACTCAACAAGACCCTTCTAGACATCCCCACGGGAATCTCATGGTTACCTCTGAAACTCACCTAACCCTTCAGACTATTCCAGAATGTCCTTTGCCTCCCTTGCTTTGTCCTGGATCCCCAAACAACAGCAGCTAGGTGTCCAACATTACCTTAAGAGTTCTGCCCTTTGCTAAGGAGCCAATAAAGGTATCTTTATACCTTTATTGCTAGATAACAGCGTGATGCAGGGTTATTACTGACCCCTGCCAGGTAACACTCTTGCTTTTCAACTTGGGGACTTTGCCTTAATAGGCTGTGTTAATGAAAGCGGTGTCCCTGACAATGGAGGAGATAGCTGGAGGGATGAACCTGGACTTTTCTACTACAAGGGACATTACTGAGCTGGGCACATAGATAGAGCTGGAAGGAAGGACATGAAATCTGTAAATCTAAAGCTGCAGCTAAATAATCTGAACTGTATTTGCTTTCTTTTAGGGCTCACCCAGGCCACTACCTCTCCTGGCGAGAACACACTGGAAAAGCAACTATCACCAGAGGTGAGGGCTTTGTCCTGGTAGGAGAAGAGGGGTGGCTGGGTGGGTTCCTTTTCTGGTGGGTATATCCAAATCTCGATGCAAGTTGGCAGGTGCCCCCCTGAGGTCTGGATGGAATGGGCTGGATGAGCTGCTTCCCCCGGGAGCAGTGAAGCTGCCTGGTACAGCAGAGAGGGCACAACCATATCTCCTGGAATTTGAGGCTCATCATCTCTGCATTCCGAGCTGGTGGTTCCCAGAAGCGTCCAGAAAGAGTTATAAATGGGCTTGTTATCTCTGTGAACCTTGAGCAGATGCCGTGAATTATCTGGAGGCATCTGGGTGAGGTCTTCCCAGAACATCCACAAGATAAGGGCTGAGAATAAATTCTTTATCTCTTACCGAAATCAGTAATTCCAGAGAAATTAACTTGTGTCTTGTGACAGCGAGATGTGGTCAAGCACCCTATTTATGGTGTGTTTTCCCCTGTTGGCATATTTCCTCTTCTACTCTTGATTCTGGGGAGAAAAGATGATCTTCCTTCCCAACGCCTTCTATGTGATTGCCAGCAGAGACTGCTCTGGACCTGTGTGGGCATCTGACGAAGCCTGAGTGGTCATGTGAACCCGAGTGCTGGTCACCCAGTCCCTTCTCTGCTCTCAGCAGCCCCTCTGGGCTTAGGACACACTGATATGGTGGGGACTCCCGAGTTTCCCAGTTCCTGGTTTACCATTCATTTCCAGCAGCACATGAACATAATGCCTCCTGTACCTGCTTTTATGCAGAGAAGCAAGTTAAAAGAGGGAAAGTAGATAATATAAAAAATATGATAGCATAGAATGGATTATTTTTAACTTTTTAGTCTAGATATACTGGGTCTCTTCTTAATTATTTTTTTACTGTGGTAAAATACACATATGTTTTGAGGCATCCTTACCTGCCACTTGCTAAGGGCATTGTCAATAGACACATGTCCCCTTTCACTAGGTGAACGGGGACTATGATGAACATGACTATGGATAATCACTGCTTCTGAATTTTGAGCCTAGAGAGAACAAGTACATGGTCAAAGTACACCAGATTTCAGGACCTACAATATTTCTCTACGAGGGCAGTTGATGTTTCTGATGTTTGGTTTCTGTTGCAGGCCCTGAAGAACTTTGCATTCTCATGCAACCCAAAGAAGTCAGGATCCAGTGTGCCTCCGAAGTCAGGTATGTGACCCTGAGCCATGAGCTTGGAAGGCTGGCATCTTCTTTGTGAGGTAGCCAGCAGAGGCTCCAGTCCTACTCCTCTTGTATCCTTTGGCCATCCAAGCCTCTTCCCCAGCCTCAGTCCTTAACACCTCCTCCTTTCCCTTCAGCCATTTCTATAGAAGGACACCAGAGATAGAACCAACATGGCCCCACAGTGGCTTGCCTGGGAAAGGGTGACCTCTGGGAGCTCACCTTCAGGGGGCCCAGATGGTGCCATAGGACCTGTGGGTTAGAACTTGGTCACTCATGTGCCTTCCTGGATCTCGTAATGTAAGCTACAGTGGCTGTTGTAGACATTTTTCTCCTATAACAGGCTAGATTTGTCTAATACCTGCATGGTATGAGTGTTGCTCTTGAGCTGGCTGTCTTCTCTGACTTTATTCTATCAAACGGCTGCATTATAGACCATGTTTAATGGCTTTGCTTATGTTTGCATTGCACTATCTTATCAGTTTCCAGTTAAGCATGCTATCCTTACTATTCTGTTATATAAGGAGTGTAGCTAGAAAAAGAAATCGATGCACCTCTCAGGAAATGATCTCTTTAGGAAGTTTACTTGTAATGGCCCTGTAACATGACCAGGACTAGGTCCGTGGTTTCTAGGGAGACTTAGTTCTAAAAATGCTTGTGGCCCAGGTGGGTCATGGAGGCTTCCTGGTGGACCATTTGCATATGGCTTGCATCTGAGGTTTCTGTGTGTTCACAGAGTGATGTTCTCCGGCACTCTTTGAGTGCCATTCTCTGGCACTCTTCAAGCTGACATTTATCCCTTTTGTACCCAGGTCATTTTCAGGTCATTTCAGGTCATTACTGGTTACTTATTAATGGGGAAATGCAGCGCCAAGGGATAGAGGGAACCAAGAGGCAGCAAGAGGGAAAAGAAGGGCCATGAGTGACCTTCCATGGGATACCTGTGGCTTCCAGAGAAGAATGAGCCTCTTTTCAGCTGGGTTCCTATGGGTCCCAGTGACCACCTGGTCTTCAGCTTTCCACTGCCATGGCTTTTCACTGCCTTGGCCTGCCCCTGCCATCTAGCATCATTGGCTCATCTTGGGGGGAATGCAGATCTAGACCTTCTTAAAAGAGTTCTTGTCTTTGCAGTCCACTCTGTGAGACCTTCTGATATAAAATTTGTGGCAGCCCTGGGCTACGTGGAACCTGTGAGTATTTCAAGGATGTGGAGGTGGGAGTCAGGGTTTGGGACTGGTGAGCCTCAGATGCATGCCTGGTAGTCAGGCAAGGTGTTTCATTTCGGGAGAGAAGAACATACTCTGACTCAGAAGCATTCTAAACCCTAGAGGGTTGTGTGTGTGTGTGTGTGTGTGTGTGTGTGTGTGTGTGTGTGTTTAAATCAGATGAATGACTCCCTTTACATCAGGATGAGGAAACTTTGGGAGTTTCTCATTAAAGAATTAAATCAATGGATAAATAAAGTCAAAGATCACAGAGAAATTTAAAGATCATCTCTGAAACTTTCTATTTATGAGCTAAAGAAAAATCATCCTTACATGCTTGGTGAATTTTTAAAAATCTACCCATCTTTGCTAATAGATTTTAGGTGGTATATTTTATATGGTCAGATGAAGGGGAAAGAAAGCAATGAGTGAGGCGGAAAGAACAAGGAGAGAGAGATGAGCAGCGAAAGAGGGTCTGGAGATAAGGGGGTTGGAGAACAGAGCCAAACGCCAGTATGATTTCCCAGGTCGGTGCTGGCTTCCAGCAGGACCCGCCCCCCACCCCAACCCTGGCCGGGTCTTGGGAAGGGGTGCCCAGGCCAGCATTCTCCGCTCTACCCGAGTCCTGCTGCATCGCAGCCCTGGAACCAAGACATTCCTCTCCCCCACCATCCCCTCCAGTGCCTTTCTCCCTCCTCCACCTACCACAGCTCCTTCCCAGCGGCCCTCCCCTGTCCCCTCGCCACAAGCCCTGGCCCACTCCCCATGCCCAGTGCTGTCCCTCCAGAAAGAACCAGACTTCACATTAGAAAACAGACCAGGAGCCCAGGGGAACCTGGCAGGCAAGGCTATCTGTGCCTGGTGTGACCTTGAGTGTGCGTAGATGGGGGTGAAGGTGGGGGTCTGCTAGTGGGAGAGTGTGGAAGGGGAGGTGATTGAGAAAAGAGGCTTCACGTCACAGATAGCACGTTGAGTTTGCTGAGCCCACGTGTCCCTGTGTGCCCGGAACGTGTGTGACCCTCGCTGGAGGACTCGAGCACTCTCCCGTGTAGGTAGAGAAGTTCAGTGAAGGGAGCCCCCTAAGTCAGGTCTCTAAAGTTAGACCTGGCTAGGGGTGATGACTTCCCCTCTGTGGTTGCAGCTCTGGGAGCTCTCGCGCTCATGAATTATGCAGACCCCAGGGCTCCTGCCTGTCACTCTTGGCCCCCCCTTTCTCCTCCTGTGAGCTGGCCTGGCACTGAACACAGCTCCAGTCAGGGATGGACTCCCTGCTTCCAGAATCTTATCATCATACAGACGGCACCTCAGCCTTCAGGGTAAAACCTGGAAACACAGCTCCTAGGAGGCAGCCTTCCTGTCTACCCAGAGACTGCGATTGTGAACTCAGCCTGGTTTATAGAAAGTATGGGGCCAGGGAAAAATCACGGAAAGCAGTGAATTTAGAAAGAAAAGAATTCATAACACTGGTACTTTTTTTTTTCTTAATTCCTGGAACTTTCTGTAACTAAGGCTCACTTATCTGTGCCTGTAGTATGCATTTGTTTAATTCAGCCAGACCAACTTTTCCTCAAAGAACTTTTTTTTTTTTTTAACATTTTTATTTATTTTTGAGACAGAGACAGAGCATGAACGGGAGAGGGGCAGAGAGAGACACACACACACACACACACACACACAGAATCGGAAGCAGGCTCCAGGCTCCGAGACCTCAGCCCAGAGCCTGACACGGGGCTCGAACCCACAGACCGCGAGATCGTGACCTGAGCTGAAGTTCGGATGCTCAACCGACTGAGCCACCCAGGCGCCCCTCCTCAAAGAACTTTAAAGAGCAGATTTACAAATGCTCATAAAATATTTTTCCAAACTAACATGCGGTACATATGAAATGTATAAGAAAAAATCAGGGGCACCTGGGCGGCAGTGGGTAAGCTTCCAACTTTGGCTCAGGTTGTGACCTCAGAGTTCATGAGTCCGAGCCCCACATTGGGCTCTGTGCTGTCAGTGCGGAGCTCGCTTCGGATCCTCTGTCCCCCTCTCTCTCTGCCCCTCACCCGCTTGCTTTCTCTCTCAAAAATAAACAAACGTTAAAACAAATCAAACAAAATACATGTATACAGAATAAAAAATTGAAGATCTCATTTGATCACCTCTTCTGCTCAGTCTGCACAAGCACGCGCGCACACACACACACACAAACAGGCGTGCACACACACACACCAATACATAGGGAGAGAGTGTGTGTAGCCTAAATAGGGTTATACTGCACATAGTATCTATGACTTGTTCTTTTGTTTTGCTTTGTTTGCTTAACTAAGAGTTCTAGGCATTTTCTGTGCTGGGGAGGTTACAGGTCATTCTAGCAACTTCCTTGAAGACCAGGCTTGTGTCTCATTTAGGTTTGCATCTCCAGTGCCATAGTGCATTCAGCCAAGGTGATATGGAGAGAAAATGGCTGCCAGCAGGCAAGATGGAGACATAGGAGTTTGCTGGGTTTGTCCTAGCCTTCCCTTTCTGTGACTTCTAACTGGGCTCTTCCCCCGCTCTCCCCACCTTGTTCCTCTTGTTCTCTCTTTCCTTCCCCTCACCAGCCCCAACAAGTTTGTTCTGGGCAGGGGCTCTGCTATCATTCAGGTCCCCTTTGCTTGGGCACAAGCTGCCCACTTTGCCTCAGCCCAGCAGCCCGCTGCCCTCATGACTTCACGGCCTGGCATCCTGGTTTATGATTCCTGATTTTTGTTTAGCTTGCCACATTTCCCTGGAAATTTTACCTCTCAAACTCCTTCTTCCTGGGGAGTAAAAACACTTTGTCCCACTTAGATGAAGGTTGTGGTCAGCCTGCCCTCCCAAGAAGGCTCCAGAAGTGTGACCCAGTTTTACAGACTGGTTGTCCGCTGAGCGGGGTGGGTAAGGATAGTCAGGCTCTTTAAAGAGAAGCAGCAGAAGACTGGGTGTAGGTAGTGTGAGTACAACTGTCACCTGTCACCATGACACCTGGAGACACTATCTTCTAGGAAGTCGAGAGAGAAAATTTGTGTCAGAACCTGTGAAAATACTACTACTGATGATAGCTAATACACACTGAGTACTTTCTATGTACTGGACGCAATTCTAGACTCCCCTAGAAGCCTGTAAAGGACACAATGCCCAGGTGGCTTCCCACAGTCTTGCCTCCGTCCAAAGTCAGGGAACATCTTCAGCAGGGAGTGTCCTGTGTTGTCCAGCATTTTACCGACAGGAAAATGAGAAGCATCATTCAGTCAAAAAACACTTACCAAGCAAATATTCATTGAATACTTCTGATGTGTCAGGCACTGTTGTGGGTCCGAGGAATATAGTCAAGAACAAAACAGACACAAACTCTTGCCCTCATGCACTTAACACTTGAGTCAAGGGAGACAGGCAATAAACAGAATTTCAGATGAGAAACGTCATGCAGTAAAACAACCCCTTCTGTGTCTAAGTGGAGGTTAACATTCTACACAGAGGCGTTTGAATCTAAGCTCTGCTGTTGCTGTTTCCTGTTCCGAAGAAAACATTCATACCTTCGGTTGCTCTGGGCTCTGACGAACAAATGAGCAAACGTGTTGCATAGGAAGCCTGACATTCATGAGCAGAGTTGGCCTTTCTCTGGATCCATGGGCTCCCTTTTATTGGTAGGAGGCAGCCGGGGTCTCACAAGGACAGGCTCTTGCCTCCTTCCCTGGCTGGGCTGTTCACACCTCCTATCTTTTCCAGCCTCCAGACTCTGGGACCGTTGACCTGGAGAAGCAAAAATGGTAACTGTTCTGGAACCACAGAGCCATAGAGCTGAGAGGAGCCTCCAATAGGATCTGCTCTCATCTCTTGGCTTGGTTGTTGGGGAAACCTGAGGGCCAGGGAGGAGACAGCTTGCTCCAAGTGGCCTCAGGAGCAGGTGGCAAAACAGGGATGAGAACCCAGCCTCCTGCCTCCTCGCCCGACACTCCTGTGCCCACACATCCCCCTGGGGTCCTCTGGGTGAATAGGGAGGAAAGGGGGGGGGGGGAGGCGCCGAATATGGAGTTCTTCCTAACACCTGTCTCCTTGCTCTGCTTTGGGGGAAGCATGCAGGGTTGGGCCGGGGTCCTTCTCCTTCTACACCGGGGCTGCATCCCCTTCCAGCTTTGGGCCAGACTAGAGGAGGACCCAGCAAAGCTGTTCACCCTATTCTGGTGGCTCCATAGCCATCTGTGGTGTGTCTCTGATGCCAGGAAGGACAAATCCAGAACCAGAGCGAGGCTGAGCCACGGCTTGTTATGAACTAGACCACTTTAGTGGAGAGAAAGGGTTGACAGGTGCAGTCTGATGCTTGCATGTTTGCTTTTACTTGCAGGACGGACAGAAGGCCACAGCAGGCATGCATGGAAGTGGTGACAGGTGAGTCCTGTGTCTTTATGGACATGTTCCAGATTGTCCCCATCCCTCCCGACAGAGCAGCATTTGGGTTAGTGAAGAGCGTGTATCCTATTGGCTATTTCATCATGGAGCCAGGGTATGAAAAGTCACATACCCAAAAGGTGGGGGGCATGAGAAATGTGTCTGAGGGTCTCTGAGCAAAAAGAAGGCATGAGGCATTAGGTTAAGGGAACCGGGGGAGACCTCAAAGGTGGTGGAGTCCTGAAGCTCCTTCTCCCCGAGGACCCCAAGGCTGGACTTGTAGCACTTCCTCGAGGGAAACTCTCCACCATTCTTCACTCCCCTCTCCCCGCACCAAGGAGAAGACCCAGGTCTAATTTTCAGTCTATTTCATTTTGTAATAACTTCCTTACTCGTAAAATAAAGATGTCAATTGGGTTCAGGAAAACGAAATGAAGAAAATAAAAATTAACTCTAATCCCAGTACTCAGAGATGATCGGTGTGTAACATTCTGGCCTTTTCACATACGAATGTGCTTATGAATATGCAATTCGTGACCTGGCTTTTCTCATTTACTGTCAAAGGTCCCTTACAACTTTATTGAGACCTTCTGAAGCCCCCAAGTCCCTTAATGCCGCTGCATTAGCCTAGCGGGATGTTAGTCACCTGTGCTTGGTGCTCACAAGCCAAGAACGAGGAAACCACCTTTCACTTCATAATTAAAGATGCTGCAATGTTACCTCCACACGATGAGCACAGGGAGTGAGGTACATAGTGCCCTGTCAGCCCAGCCAGTGAACTTCTCCCAGGGCCTGGGAATGACTAGGATCTCTGCAAAGGACAGGGATGAGCAGGATAATGCCCCTGCTTTCAGCCCTCCCCTTCCAGCAGGGAAGGCTGAGACCGGATGTCCAGCCCTCCAGGATTTGACTGACGGGTGAGGGGATATTGCTGACCAAAGTGGTGCCAGGGTCCCCTTGCAGAAGGTCAAAGTGTTCCAAAAGAAGACGCCCCAAACAACTTAGTGGCTGTCGCAGCTCTGCCTCGGTTTGGCCCCATTTTCCTTTAAATGGTAGGAAAAGAGAAGCGTGGTGGGATATTTGGGGTGTCTGGGAAGGTGGGATGTAGTTTAGGCTCTGCAGCGCAAACACAGCTGCTGCTGTGCCTGATTTCTCAACTCGTATCCATTTTTTGGCCCCTCACCCACATGGTAAAAAGTCCTGGTGGCCCCTCGTACACCAGCCGAGTGACCAGGAGTCCCACTAGGCAGAGCTGCAGCAGGAGGCGGGGCAGGGAGGGCATATTTTGCACCTGAATGTCCTCACCCGGAGCTGTTGGTGCAGCCGCCCTAAGGCATGGGAGAGTGGGGCGGAGCCGAGAGCCCGACCGGGAGCTCAGCAGCTAGTCTGCCGAGGAGAAAGGGCTCCAGGAACATCCAGGCCTGTGCAGCGGTCTGTTAGGGTTGGCCCAACTTTATCTGGCTCGGCCCACCTGTCCTTCAATCCCAGAACCTCCGAGCTCTTCAGATCTAGCCATGCCCTTGCCCACCGTGGCCGTTTTGCAGATGGGAAAACTAAGTCTTGAGGAGGTGAATGGACTTTTCCAAAGTTACACGATCAGTACGTGGCAGAGTACCAGCCCCACAGCCTGCGCCTTTCGTTGTGACCTCACTGGAGACTGAGAGAGAGGCAGCCCTAAAACAAAATGACGGGAAGATTTATGCGAAAAGAGCATGGTCCCGTCTGATCACAAAAGAACAATACGATACAAACACCTCTACTTTGGAAAGCGATTCTCTCCCAAAGACCTGGCACCAGCTTTTCATGTCTTGTCGTTTGCTCTCACAGGCTCTCCTGAGGGGAGCGAGTGTATGCACTCACGCGCGTGTGCATACACTGTCCCTGTCGTCTTCAGCTGGCCTCTGAGCTTCCTGTTTTCTCACCACATGTGGGAAGGGGCTTCTCCTCCTAGTTGGTCAGGACTTAGAAAAGGAAGCTCATTAGTTTGGATTGAAGATGAAGACCCAGTCACACATGACTTGGGTGACTGTCCAGGCGGACAAAGCCAAGAGACTGGTCTCCTGACTTCCCGCCCGCTGTCTGCTATCTGCACAGTATGGGCTGGATTCTGCTCCCACAGAGCCCCAGGCCCTTCTGGATGGGGGTAAAAGGGAAGGAGGGATTGGGGGTGGGGGGAGGCATCTCCTTCCCATGACACTCTCCCGGCTCTGCCCTCTCCTCTCTTGGGATCAAGATACAACTTAACTACTCCTGACAGCACTATTTTTAGCGGTCCTCTGGCTGTCAGCTCTGGGACATGTGTTCCCCGGAGCTTTCCCGCCCTGCTGTCACTCTCAGGAGGAGGAAGGGGGGCTGGGAGGCAGCCTACCCGGGTCCCTGTCCTAGCACACTTCCCCTAACGAGTCGACGGTGCGTGACGGTGGAAAGCTTGGTGTTTCAAAGCTCTGGTTCAAATCCCAACAACCTCAGTTTACCGTGAGAACTTGGGTAGCTTGCTTAGTTCCTCTCCGCCTCAGTTTCCCCTTCACACATGTAAAGCACTTAGCGCTGGCTTGGCCTAGCCCTGGATAGGTGCTAGCTTTCAGCCCCAGTCACTTCTGGGGGCCCTCTCCGAGACTGACCTCGCAGCCGAGGGCAGGTTGTGAAGGGCGTGCTTTGGAAGAGTGGAGTTACCCTGGAACCTCCCCCTACGAGGTGGGGGGAGGGGGGTCTGCCTTCACAGGTCCCCTCCAGCTGGCAGGGCCACAGCCTCAAAGCAGCTCTCTCTTTAGTCCTTTCAGACATCATCAGATATTTCAACCCTTCTGTTCTGAGGCCTTTGTGCGCCCCTGGGAAGACAGTGGTGGCCCACACTGGTGCTCAGTAAGTCCCGTTTCTGGCTTCCCCTGGGACTGTGTACTCCTTCCTGTCTGTCCTGGGCATCTGGATGGGTGGGGGGGGGGGGTGGGTGCTGGCAAAGTCAAAGAGGCTTAGAAATAAAGGTTTGTATTAAATCAGAGTCAAAATGTGTCTCCCGCATGGATTTCAGTCTGCCTGATGGGCCTAATTTTAAAAATCAGGTCAGTGTCTGCCCTGCAAAAGCCAGGGGTGGTGCAGTGTGGCTTCGGACTCTGAGGCTGGCACTTGCGCTGGGGCCAGGGGCAAGCCTCCAGCCCTCAACAAAGCTCTGTTGGACTCACTTTCCTCTCTGCTCGCTCCCTCTCTGCAGAGACTTACGGGTAGAGGCGGAAGGACTGGTGCGGAGCATGAGGGAGAACCAGGTGAGGTCCCAACTGACTCTGAGGTCGGGGCTGCCCGTGTCTGCTCCGAGGCTGTCAGACCAAACACACTGGGCAGGCATGACCCCACTGCCACTGTGCCCTGAACACAGCAACCAGTGTGGTCTGGGTTCCCCAAAGATGCCCTTTCGGTGGCAATTCTCTGGAGTCTGTTAAAACACAGGGCTTCTTCTTACGTCCGCAATGTGGTCCTGCTAAAAGTCAGCAGATGAAAATGACTTCCCACCCGGGAAGGTACTTGAGAGCTTGGCTTCCAGAGGGAGACACTTTGTGAATCCTGACTTCTCAGCCTGTTGGCTGTGTGACATTGGGTAAGGCCCTTGACCTCGCTAAGCCTCAGTTTCTACATTTATGAGATGGAGGTAATAAAAGAGGCTACCGGACAGGCTTAGGGAGGATTAAATGGGGCATCAGAGGTGCCTGGCATGGAGGCATTGCTCCAATGAAAGCCTGTAGTTGCCAATGACATTGAGGTGATGACTGCTGTTATTTTCATATTCATTTTAGGTCTTAGGTGGAGGTCATGTAACCTACATGCTGGGGTCTTGGGCAGTGTGCCCGGTGGCCTCAGGCTCTGAGACTGGCACGTGTGCTGGGGCAAGCTTCTGAGCCTCAACAAACCCATTCTCCTAGCAGTTCAGATGCTCTTTACTCGTAGGAGTTTGTAATAAGCATCCCCAAATGTTTTGTGGCCTCCTTACAGGCAAGTACCAGGTCAAGGCAAGCCTTGCCACCAAGCTGGCTGTAACCAGCACTGAGCTTGGACTGCTGGAACCAAGGGAAGATGCTTTCTGGGCCAGCCATGACTTCATTACAGAGTTCGGGGATTAAAGCTAGGTCATTTCAGGTTCTACGAGAACAGTGACGAGTGCAGGAGCTATGCTATTAAGTGTTTCCCCTACTGGGAGAATTCCAGAATTTCTAGAATACTCATAACATTCTGGAGAATGGCTAGAAGATCCTGAACCTAATCCCATAATTTTACAGATGAAGAAAGTGAATTCCTAAGGAGTCATGGGACCTGCCCAAGTTCACACAGCTAGTTAAGCTAAAATCTAAAGTGCAGCCTGGGTGACAGTCTAAGGTTTCTCAAGCGCACCGCGTTGCCTCTTGAAAAACAAAATGAAAGTTTATTTTTTTTGTTCTGCAACTAATACACGTTCATTATAGAAAAATCAGAAAACACAGATAAACAAAAAGAATATTAAGACCATTCTTCAACCTGATACCCCGAGATAATTGCTGTTAACAACTTGATGTATATTCCCTTCTGTATTTTTTCTAAGCATATATTTTATTAAACAGGGATGTTACTAGATGTAGCTACTTGTTATAACCTGTTTTTCTCAGTGTAATATGTCCCATGACGATAATTACATTTCCGGCGTTGTCTTAACAGCTACATCTTATGAGCGTTCCACAATTTATACAGCAATCCCCTATTTTAGACATTTATGTTGTTGCCAGTTTTTCATGCTTATAAACAAGTCTTCATCGTTGCGGCTAAATCTTTCATGTATCCTTGTCTCCTTAAAATATATGTTGGGAAGTGGAATTATTAGATCAAGAGGTATTCCCTTAAAAAATAGTTCTTGATGCATTTTGCCAAATTGCCTTCTAGAGCGTTTATACAACTTTAGATTCCTCCCATGTACTTCTTCGTTGGAAAAAAATGCATAAATATGATTTTATGGGTGTGGCTAATGAAATTGACAGATTTGAAAAGGAAAAAGTTCTCTTAATGCCATGTCTTACCACTCTCTCCTTTTATGCTCTTGTCCTTTTTCTTTCTTTCTTTCTTTTTTTTTTTTTTTTTCCAGCAACTTGACTTTCAAAATGACTGGAAGCTCATCAATGTGTTCTTCAGTAACACAAGCCAGGGTCACCTCTGTCCCTTCGCCCAACAGGTAAACCACGGGCTGGGAGGCAGAGGGTTGCAGGGGTAGGGGCAGCCAGAATGACCTTAAACCTGCCTGGTCTACACCTATCAGGTGGAGCCTGATGGCAGCTATTTCAGAACTTGGGCAACAGACAGATAAATAAATGGGTGTTAGATATCTAAGGGCTCAAGAGCCATCTCTAGGGACAGTGTTTTTCATGTACCATCTTTCATATCAAGGAAAGGAAAGTGAGGTGTGGAGAGGCTGAGTTAATAATCATTCTGCAACCAAGGAAAATCCACTTCCTAGTGAAAAATCATTTGCTCCTTGTAGCTCTTCTTGTATTTAGTGCTGAATTTGGGAAGAAAAGCAGGATATGTGTGTTCTTGTCGCCTGTTGGCCCACGGGCTCTAGTTATAAGGGGAAGCTAGTATTTCTGTAGGAAGACTGCAACTTCCAGGCTCTTTGGCATTCCTGGAAACCAGACATGAAACGTGTGCCTGCGTTTATTTATGTAGGTGACTATGACTTAAGTCTTTACTGGAGGTTAGTCCTGGTTAGGATCGGTTGAAAGTATAAGGGGTGGCTTAGATGCCCAGGTTATGGTGACGTAAATGGCACACAGACTCTTCCTCAGGAGCCTGAAGGCGCGTAAGCCACCTATGGCAGACCAGTTATCTGCCCACTGTGCATTCAGCCCCATGCAGGGCCCCCACCAGGCCACGGCACAGGCATGGGCGAGTGAAGTTTCTTGAGGTCCTGTCCTCTTTCCTGTGCTCCTCTCCCACAACATATGCTCTTGCCTTCCTCCGAATGCCCCATGCTCCCACTTATTCTTGCCCCACCATCCACCCTCCCGCCTTCCATTACTGATGTCGAGCCCTTGGAGAATGCCGAGGGAGGCCCACCTTCCCTGACCAGCTTTTGTGGAACAATATTCCTTACAGATCTCCTGGGTGTGTAGCATATAGATCTTGAACCTTTATATTTCTACTTTACTCTCTGTTTTCTCCAATGCCAAGTGAAACTTACGTGCCCTGTTTATTCTCTGCTTCCCCTTTTGGTCATTATACACACCAACATTTATTCATGAATTCATGCATTCATGCAGTGAAGTGCTCAAACAAGCATTTAGACATTGCTGAATTCCTCTGCATATCCATCCATCCATCCATCCATCCATCCATCCATCCATCATCTATTCATCCATAAATTCATCCTCTTTTCTTCCATGCAGGTATGTGCTATTGTATTCATAACGAGTTTGTTTATGCTAGCATTTGTTTTTTTTTTTTAATGTTTGAATGCATTCATTGATGCTCACACTCATTCATGATTCCTTCCATACACTTTATTTCCTATTCAAGCATTATGGATTATTGTATTCTTTCATGTATTTATGCCTTTAAGCATTCTTGCCTACACAAGGCATTTCTGTATACACATATCCATTATGCCTTATTTACTTTTATTTTTAGTTATACAAACAAAGCACAAATGCTTTTGCCTTAAAAACAAAACTAACACATTAAAATCAAAGCTAAAATACCGTTTTGCCACCACCTTGACTAAGGAGTGTCTAAAGCAGGGTTTGACATAGGGGTCAAACCATGCAGGGATCCCTGGGTACCCTAGGGAAGAGGGATGCCCTGAACGTGGTCCAGATGGGCAGCAAGGACCTTTCTAGGCAGTACCCGAGACTCTTCAGAGGGGAAAGTGTGATGCTGACTGTCATGCTCAGGGAGAGACTCCCTTAGACTATAAGAAATGGACAAAAGGCTTTATTGCTGCCTACGGTGACAGAGTGGGCTGAACCAGCCTTGAGAGGACACTTTTGCGTCAAAGCAGGGATGTGGGGTAGGAGCTGCCCTTTCTCGCTGTTCCAGCCCGAGTGATTGGCAGCTGTCTCCAGAGTCCCTGCCTGTGTCCCCGCAGGAGACAGAACAGCGACTTGGCCTTCCATGTCTTCCTGTCTGAGCCACGTCGCCTCAGGGGACAGCTGGTTTGCAGGCTGCTTAGGAGTTTGTCTTGTCGCAAAATTTATCATTAGTTATTTTTTTCACCCTGAAAAGGTAAACCAGGGTTGATTTTTGAGGTCTTGTCATTTGTTTATATATTTTCATTACAAAGAATTGGGTGGGGTAGGAGGTGTCTTTAAATACTCAGTAATAGGAGTTGGCTCGGATTCTCTCCCTGAGCCCTTTCTCCCTGGGGGCCCATGTGGCAGGGGGAGGTCTGATAAAAGTGTGCCGTGCAGAAGTTTTGAGGCCCATCTGGGTCCTTAAATCCAGCGGTAATTGTGTTCCTCCTTTGGACCTGATTTTCTTCAGATGAAAGTGATTCTTAAACTTAAAAAGGGGGGGGGGGGGGGGCACTGGGGTGGCTCACTGGGTTAAGCATCTGACTCTTGATTTCGGCTCAGGTCATGGTCTCACAGTTGGAGTTCAAGCCCTGCATCAGGCTCTCTGCTGACAGCACAGGGCCTGCTTGGGATGGTCTCTCGGTCCTCTTTGACTCCTTCTTTCTCTCTCTTAAAATAAATAAATAAACTTAAAAAAATAAAAGGGATTCCATCAGTCTTTGTGAATAAGTCTGGTTACCCCTCCCTCCTTGAGAGCTTTGGAAGGGCCCTGACCTTGGTTTGCCCTTCCCTGACACGGAACTTCCCATTTTAGAGAGTCTGGTTTTTCTTGGTGGATGATGGGTTGGGGAAGTCAGAGAATGGGCAAAAACCTGGGACCAGACTTCCTCCCAGAGGCTGATGGAAGAAGTTGTATCTGAAGAAAATCGGGTCCAAAGGGGGAACACCATTATTCCTGGATTTAAGGACTCCGATAGGGGGTGGGGAGAGAAAGAGGCAGGCCAGCAGGAGCCTGCACATCCGTGGCCCCCTGGGCCCATCCCCACCTGCCCTTAGCACGCTTCTCCTCTCCCAGCACAGGCACGCAGCGGGAGGTCTGCTCAAGCTAGCTGGAGTGCTGGACTACCTGCACCAGGAGGTGAGACTACAGCTCCCCGGGACCACGGGCCCTGAGTTTCCCTTCCCCAAAGACTCCTCGGGCAGCCGGCAGGAAGTTGCTCTTCCAAGGGCTGATGGGGCAGGTTCCGGCTTATTCTCCAGTGGCCTCCACTGAGACAGGGAAAGTGGCCTCAGAAGGGAGGCCAAGACCCAGGGGAAAAGCAAAGTGGAGAAGCCAGTCTTCTTGCCTTTTCAGAAAAACCCGGGTCAGGTATATAGCTCTTCACAATCCAAGAAGAGTTCTGAGCGAGACTTCTGGAAGAAGAAGGGATAGAGCACTGGGGTCTCAGTGGCCCTCCTCTTTCCTAAGGCCTCTGAGTCTGAGGCAGTGACAGCCCAAGGGCCTTCCCTTTCCGGCCTGACCATGATGAGCAGGGGAGCTCTGTGGCTCTCACCCCAACCCTATGATCCCCGGGGAGGCGGCTTTTCTGTCAGGATTACAGTCCCGCTGCCACCAAGGTCCTACTCCCCTGTTGACACTGTGGTGGGGCAGTGTTCTGCCCCCCCCAGGAGATGGTGAATGACACCTTTCCACGGTGGCAGTGCCGGCAGCTTTGGAGAGACCCCAACCAAGCACGTCCCAGAGGAGGTACTTAACCAAGGAGAGGCCTGCCGTGTTCAACCACACACCAAACAGGCTCAAACCAAGGGTTCAAGGGCAGCAATGGTGGTGACCTTGCAAATGCTCACCTTCTCCCTCGTATCCTCCTAGGTCCCCAAAGCGTTTGTGAACCTGGTGGATCTCTCTGAGGCTCTGGTAGTTTCTCACTGGCACCAAGGGACTCAGCTCAGGTAAAAAGGGAAGTGAAATGCAACCAGCATTTTGTTGATTGGCTGCCGTGTGTCAGGCACAGCACCGGGCACTTCGTGTCCCTCAGTCCTATGAGAACGACCCTACCCTTCGTCCTCCCCGACGTGTGCCTCCTCCTCCTCCTCCACCTGTAAGACTTCCAACTTTTCCTTCCGTACTCCCTAAGCAACTTCCAGGGTCCCCCCACCAGCTCCCTTCTTCCCCCATGGACAGCATGAATAGCCAACATCGCAACCACGCTCTCATCTCTGGCTTGTTTTAACCGGCAGCCTCGCAGAAGAGCCCTGCAGATACTCAGGGGAGACCTTGAAGCTTTCCGAGGTTGTGACACAGTGGTCCTATCAGGTGAGCCCACCCTCAGACACTGGCTGTTGGCCCACAGGGACAGGTGATCCCGGAGGAGAACGGGGGTGGTAGGAACAAGGAGGGAGCAAACTTGTTCATGTCGAACTTCTTCCATAAATTCAGGACTAAGAGTCAGGGACCAAAGAGAGCTACCCTTCCTTCACTTTCTGGCCATACTTCGGTACTCTCTTGAGCAGAGTGGGGACTAACTACTGGTGGGGGGCGGGGGCGGTGGTGGAACCTAAAGTAAAAGATCAAGGGGTGTCTGGGTGGCTCAGTCAGTCAGGTGTCTGACTCTTGGTTTCAGCTCAGGTCGTGATCTCATGGTTCATGCGTTCATGAGTTCAGCCCCGTGTCGGGCTCTGAGCTGACAGCACGGAGCCTGCTTGGGATTCTGTCTCTCCCTCTCTCTCTGCCCCTCCCCCACTCACACTCTCTCTCAAAATAAATAAAGTTAGAAAAAAAAAAAGATCAAGGAGAATTTTGCAGATTCATTCTGAAATGCTTTTGATTGTCATCACCACTTGTACCACATGTCCCTGGCCGGTGAGCTGGTGGTGCCCAGGGTGGGCTTGCTCCCCAGACCACAACCCATGGGCAAGTCAGGATTCCTAATGATGAGCATTCTGGTTTAGAGAAGAGACCCAAGGGAGCGTGGAAGGCTCAGCGGGTGCCATCGTCCCTTCCAGCAAACAGCTCAAAGCACAAGTTCCTCCTGATGCGTGTTAACACGATGATTTAAATTTTTTTTTTCAACGTTTATTTATTTTTGGGACAGAGAGAGACAGAGCATGAACGGGGGAGGGGCAGAGAGAGAGGGAGACACAGAATCGGAAACAGGCTCCAGGCTCCGAGCCATCAGCCCAGAGCCCGACGCGGGGCTCGAACTCCCGGACCGCGAGATCGTGACCTGGCTGAAGTCGGACGCTTAACCGACTGCGCCACCCAGGCGCCCCAACACGATGATTTAAAAAAAAAAAATTGTTTTTAAGTTTACTTATTGTGAGAGGGTGGGGAGGGGCAGAGAGAGAGAGAGAGGGGGGAGAGAGAGAATCCCAAGCAGGCTCCTCACTGTCGGCACAGAGCCCGAAGTTGGGCTCAAACTCCCAAACCGTGAGATCGTGACCTGAGCCGAAACCAAGAGTTGGACGCTTCACCGACTGAGCCCCCCAGGCGCCTCTAACATGATGGTTTTTATTTAAGAAGAAAGCCCTATATGAAGTCATATATGGCACTTCTCACTTTGGAAACGACAATTTTGGAGTGGTCAATAGCACATCCCTCCACGGAACCCCGCCCTTGAGGAGAGCGTGGGGGCCCCAGCTCGTGCTGGGCTGGGGTGCACTTCACGATCACCCAGAGAATGTACTTCAGGTTCATCTCTGGTATTACGTGATGCTGAGGCTTCAGAGGAAAACGAAACCCTGATGTAGTTCATCAAAGGGCCCCAAAGTGTGAGACCAGGGGGAGCTTCCAAAAAGCATGTCATTCAGAACCGCACAGAGGGGCGATTCTGACCCGGGGACCTGCTCCGAACTCCCTGGTGGGAGGTTGGGGCAGCCTGGCCTTGCCGGGACTCAGGTGGCACACCTCTCTGCTCCCTCCTTCAGGAGAGCTGGGACCGTCTCCTGGCCTCCAGCAAGTACAACAAGGAGGAGTCCTTCGCAGTGGTTTTCCAGCCTTTCTTCTACCAGACCCTACCCTCGGTGAGTGAGGGGGGCTGTGAGGAGGTGGGACCAGCCCTCCCCCCGCCCCTCTCCCCTCCACAGAAGCCGGGCTTCCGCAAGCCCAGCGTGTGCCGGGGGAGAAATGCCGCGGTACTCTCGTCTACTTTCTTGGCGGTTTTGCCACGGGGTTGGGTGGCCCCATGAGGCGGGTTCTTAGAGGCACAACAGCCCAGAGGTAGAGCATGGACTCTACCGGCCAGACAGGTCCTGACTCTGGAATGGGCCAGCTGTGTGACCTCGGGTGAGTTGTTTGCACCCTGTGTGCCTTGGCTCTTCATCTGCGGGTTCAGGGCCATTACTAATATCCTCTCCTTCTAGGGTGATTGTCAGGATTGCTTGAATAAATACACATATGGAGCCTAGAGCGGCACCTGTGTCTGGGAAGCCCTCGGCTCCTCCGAGCTCTTGTGACCATTCGGGATAGAATTTTCAGGGCAGAACACCACGTTCCTCCCTCTGCACACCCTACACCCATCCCTGGAAGGGAGAGGACTTGGAGTTGCCCCCACCCTTCCCCCAGGTCACTGGGCAAATGCCTCTTGCCCCCCCCCCCCCCGGGGGCTGCCCAGACCATGAGCACCATGGTGGGTTCATGCACGCTCGGCAAGGTCTCTGAGGCCTTAGCATCTGGGATGGTCCCTCCCTCCAGGCTCCTGGATCCTGCCTGTTGGAGTCCCTGTGCCCCCTCTAGGGCTTCAGGGATGTCCAGATAGTGGTTAGAAATGAGAGGGAGGAGTAATCATTCCCATCCCCCACCCCCACTCAGAACACACATGATTCACTTCCCTGTCACCTGCTCCTCCTGCCGTGTAGCGCCATAAGCACAACCCGATGATAGGGAAGAGCGGCCAGACCCTCGACCTGCCCCTGCAGACCCTCACCTCTGAGCCTGACCTCAGACAGGGTCCTTTAAGTGCCCACCAGTAATGGTGGCACTTGGGGCTGAGAGAGAGTCTGGCGGGCCACGCCATCTCTGCCAGGGAGGCTCAAAGTGTGCGGCAGGCCACCCCATCCTAAGGGGCAAAAGCAGGTTCTTATTTGGTTCCGTTTCAGGGGGAACAACCACTCCAGGATCCCAGCACAGTCGCCTTGAATCTCTGGAGCAGCATAGTGAGTGGCTGGGGGTCGCGGGGTGGGGGGGGGGGGGGGCTGCCCGGCCGGGGGGGGGGTTCCAGAAGGGGAGCAGGAGCGCCACCCCCCCCCCCACCGTGCCCCCTGCTCGGACGGAGGGGCTCCGGGTTGCCCGCAGGACCCCGGATGATGACTCTGAGCCACCAGGGGCCCTGCGCGCACCTGCTGACAGCCCAGGTCTGACCTCCTGGGAGTTTCACCTTCCCATCCGGGGCTGGGCTACCGCGGTCCTGTTCTTCGCAGAGGCACGGGCATCTCCTCCGCGTCTGCACAGGCCACTTTGCTTGTGGATTGGGCTCACATAGTAGTTCCAGCCCAGGTTTCCCTCACCATCGTGTGGCTCAAAGGCACAGGGCGGTGGCTGCGATGAGCGTGGACTGTGAATGAAGAAGACCTGGCTTCTGTTCCTAATTCCACCCTTCATGACCCGTGTGAATACAAGGTCTCAGCTCCCGTTCTGCAAAACCCTTTTCATAACCCCTGACGCCACACGTGTCCTGTGCACGGCTTATTCCTGGCCCTACTGGCCCTCAGTGAGGACTCACCACGCGTTGGCCCTTCTTACTATACCTGTGACAGGCTTTCCCCAGACTACGAAAGTCCCCCAGGGCCAGCTGGGCTCAGTCAGTGGGTGGGATAGAACCTCAAAACTGTGAACGTTTCCAGGGCACTGGACGGAGACCTGACTTTGTCATTTTTTTCTCCATCGAAGTTGCCCTAGTTTTAGAATTCTAGTGATGGGAACTTGGTTGTCCCTGTTCTTGGTTAGGAAACTTCTCTCCCTTTCCTCAGTTGGTTTGCTGTGCTGAGACCGTGAGCCACTGCCTTCATTAGCCCACACACAGGTACACGTTAGCCAGGAACAAGGAGAGTAGGCAAGGTCCCCAGGTGGCCCATGGCAAGGAACTCACACTCCCCTTTGGAGAAGGCAATGATTTCTTTTCTGATTTCTTTGAATACAGATCCTTTAGTGGGCCTGACCCTTGGGCAGGATATTTCCCCCAGGAAACCACTTCGCTGCCCATCTCCTGTGAAGAGCAGAGAATAGGAATGTGACCCTTCCTGCAGGAGCTAAGCCCCCTCCACCCTCTCTCTGGGGGAGAAGGACTGATTCCAGCTCAGCCAAACCTCCTCCTCCTACGTCCGCTTTCCCCCAAGCAACACAAGGGCACCTACAACATGCCCCACCCTAGGCTGGGTCCTAGGAGGATACAGGACACACACCAGGTGACCTCTGCCCTCATAGAACCTAGGGTGTAGCTGGAAAGGTCAGGCAACCCAGAAGAACAAGAGTGAACTTGACCTCAGCCAGCAGTGATGTGCTGGACTGTGTACCCAACAACGATAGGAGCGAGAGGTCAGGAGGATCCCATGGGGACAGGATTCCAAATGGCTTTGTAAGGTGTGTGGGAGGAGGTCAGGGTGGGCATTCCCAGGCAAAAGGACTTTTCTGAGCAAAGGGCATGGAGAAGAGAAGAGCCAATGCACTGGCAAGGGGCAGTATGAGGCTGGTCTGATAAGAGAGGAAACCTGAGGATAAGGAGGCCCTGAGAAGGAATAATGTACCCTGAATGCCAGAAAGAACAGATCCAGGGAAAGGATCCTCTCCCTCCTCTCCCTCCTCTTCCCCCCCTCCCCTCCCTCCCCTCCCTGCCCCCCCTCCCCTCCCTCCCCTCCCTCCCCTCCACACACTTCCTCCCTCTCTTCCCTCTCCTTCTCCCTCTCTACCCCTTCACCTTGCTATTGGTCGTCATTGGTGGCAGGGGCAACAGTGACAATCTTTGCCTTTATTGAGCCTGAGTGTCATCCTGCACATTGACACGGGCACCCGGCACCACAGTGTCCTACAACCCACTTGAGGGTGCGGATAAGGATGAGGCCGAGCAGGCCCACAGATGGGAACAGACTCCAGGCCAAAGGACCATGACACAGTAGGTGTCACAAGGGCTCCGAGGAGGAGGAGGCAGCTTTCCTGGGTGGGCAGTTACCCCCACTCAGTCCTGTCCAACCAACCCCCAGTTATTTCCCAATGAGCGTTCTCGAGGTCCGGGCAGCCAGGCCAGCAGAGAAAGAGGGGCTTCCCTGGATGTGTCACTCTCCTGGCTTCCTCATGGGTGACGTGCCAGACCATCCGTGGCTCCCAGAGTGAGCAGAGCCGCGAGAGTGAGTGGACAGCTCCTGCAGGCATGGGTTAGTGCGTAAGAAACGAGGAATCGACCAGGTCTGGGCAAAAGTACTGGGTAAAAAGCCAGAAACCCTGAGTTCCAGTTACACCTGTGTCTTTGGTTGTAGCACGAGGTGAATCGTGTGGTCTTTCTAGGCCTCTCTTTTCCCTCCTTGCCAGAGGTGTGTGATGACCCTCGGTGAGCCTTAGAGGCCTTTAGCAGCACGCACGAGTGGTTCACCCTTGGGTTCACTCTTGTGTCTTCCTAGGGACACAAAGAGGGCAGGCGTGTCTCTGCCTTTATCTCCTTGAGTCTCTGCTGTGTTGGGTTTGAGACCACAGAGATGAAAGCCGGATAGGTCTATCCAAGGCCACGTTCACAGACACAGAGGGTCTGGAATGAGGGCCACTCTCATATGTGGGGAGCAGAGAGGGTCCAACATAATCGCTGTGACCACAGGGGCCCAAGTTCCAGCACTTTTCTTCCCCACGATGCCCCCAGACACCACAGTGGGGGTGGCTGTGCAGGCCAGCCCCGCATCTGTTCTCCCTGGCCAGGCCCCAGGGTACACGTAAGCTCTGAGTGAGGGCCAGCAAAGGGAAAGTTGCAGATACCTGCAAGAGAGCAGCCCCACTTCTGAAACACTCCTGGAACCGCCCCAGCATAACGTGCCCCCAGACTGCCGCTGAGCTCCTGACACAAAGCTGGGGGATTTTGTGAAGACATAATTCATTCCCTTGGTCCCTTCTGCCCCCATCACCGCCTCCTCAGTAATTTCTGACGATTCTTATGCAACACTAGTTCTGAAGAAACCCACCTTTGGGGAACTGGATCCTTCCAGCAATCACAGACCCCCACTGCATGCCAAGCCCTGAAATTCCCTCAGGAATTGCTCAGCTGAGTGGGAATTCTCCCGGGAGAGAATGCCTAAGGTCATCCCTCCCACATTCCAGTTAATTCCAGTGTGGCAGGGAGGCTGTGGAGAAGAGATGTGGGTGATTCCAGGACTGAGGTGTGGAGCGAGAGCACAGAGACCAGCCCCCACTGTCCCTGGAGTGCATGTGAACTTGTACACGGGCACAGGGTGGCAGGCGGAGGGACAGTGGGAGGGGATGTTTGGCCTGGCCGCCTCATTCTCCATGCTGCCTGAGCACAGAGGAGGGTAGAGGGTCCAAGCAGGTGTAAAGGGCATTAAAGGAGTGGGAAGGATGTAGGAGACTGATAAAGAGACATTTGAGGAAAGGCTCTTAAAGGAAAGTGTTTATTCAAGCCTATGAATTTCCTCTCTTTAAGGTCCTTAAAAAATGGGCTCTGCTATATCCATTCTACCAGAATTATTAAAGTGTGGCTCTCTCAGAGCTTCTTTCCAGACTCTCTTATTGATGACATTCTTGAGAGATTGGAGAAGGGAAGAAGGCAGGCCAGATTGACACCGGGTCACTGAACACTCCCTTTCAGAGCAACCTTGAACATTGTGGGCGGGACCTCCCATTTCCAGGAGTGCCCACCATCAGAATAAATCTGAAAGAAGGTAGGGACCCCAGTTCCTCCTCCAGCCTCTGAGCTAAAAGGTTGCCACCCTTTTTACAAAAGGTCAATTATACCCTCTTATCTGACTTTGTCCATTTGGGTGAAGAGCTAATCCCAAGAAGGGTAAAGTTCTTTCCCTGGTTCTTGTTTATGGCGAGATGCTGGGATAAGATATTGCTGAAGAATCTAAAATCCTCGTGGAGGATGGCGGAGCCTGTGACTGAGCCAGACAGAGCGCCCCATCCCATAGCCTCTTGCCTCTTGTCAAGTCATTGGAAGGGAGGGGAGGGACAAAGGTGCCCAAGAGTCTAGTACCTGTGGGCAGTAGGGCTGACCGTGAACATGAGGTTCCCAAATGGGAGAAAATAGCGGTGCAAAAGGAAATGTGTCTTCTCTCGAAGCTGTGGTATCTTTCAAGAGTTTATGTATCATAAGCATTTAAAGATAATGAAAGGAACTTTTTAAAAATGTTTATTTTGAGAGAGAGAGAGAGACAGAGCACACATGAGCCTGAGAGGGGGAGAGAATCCCAAGCAGGCTCCATGCTGTCGGCACAGAGACCAATGTGGGGCTCGATTTCGTAAACCCTGAGATTGTGACCGGAGCCAAAACCAAGAGTCGGTGGTGGCTCAGCTGACTAGGCCACCCAGGCGCCCCAACAAAAGGAACTTAAAAAAGAAAGCCTTCCCCCCACTGAATTCTTCAACTGCCTTCACTTTCCCGTGTGCCCTTGAGTGTGTTCACATCGGTTTATCACCTGCTGGGGCCCCTGCTGACACACGCACACTATTGGATGGCGCCGTTCCACCGGCTCCGGTTATCATTTGAGTAGTTGCCTAGATCAGCACTGAGCCCACCATTGCTCACTGCCGAACCGCTAGATGTTCAAGTTGTTTGGGAGTGGGGGCTGGGCTGTGCCCCACGTCTGTTCCTCTGATTAAAGACCTAGGACTTGAGCCAGAAGCCATAGCTCGTCTCACTCACGGCCACGTAAGCAGTGTTCAGGTAACAGAGGCTCTTCCTGCCTCCTGGACGCGGGCTTACACGCCACGGAAAGGGGAGCCGAGGGGAGAGGGTGCATGCTCTCCTCTCGGAGGGAAGTTTCGTCAGCGCTGGGGTCCCAGTCCCAGCTCAGCCTGTCTGGCATTCCATGCCTCTCTCGGTAACATCAGGAGGGGTGGGCTGGGCATCACTGAATCCTCCCGTGCCCTGGGCCTCACCCGGGGCTTGCACTGGGACCTCCTGGAGGGCTTGTTCAAATGCACGGCACTGGACCCCACCCCAAGGTTTCTGACTTGAGTAGGTCTGGGTTGGGCCTGGAGATTTGCATTTCTAATGTGTCCCCAGGTGATGCTGGTGCCGCCAGCTGGCCCAGGGTCACACTCTGAGAGATGCTGGGCAAATGAGTCTCTGTCATTGGCACCCCAGGATGCGGCCACCTATGCAAGACTTCTCTGTTCTAAAGATCACCTCCTTTTCCAGATGGAGCCAGCAGGACAGAAAGATGAGCCATTCAGTGCACGAGAGGGAAGTCCGGTGAAATGTCCCTCTCAGGTAGGCCAGAACTGGGGACGGGAGGGAATCCTTTGCTGAGTTGGGGACCGAGATGGGGCCACGAAGAAGTGGGCTTTGCTGTGAAGTGGGGTCTTCCCTGGATGAGACATTAGCCCCATCAGAGGCTTGGGTTGGCTCTTCGAGGCTGGGCACAGCTTTGCACACCTGACACGCTGAAGGTTTACACCGGCGGGTCAGGAGAGCCGTGTCCGCGGCACTGAGGCCCCTTCCACACCTGTGGAGGGCCTAGGACCAAAGCCACAGCTTACCTGGTCCCAAATGTGAGGATGAGCATCTTGAATAACGCGCCCGACATGTAGTAGGCATAGAATTAGTGCTGCTGAGTAAATGAATGAGAAAAGGAACACCGAACATAAATCACTAGAATTCTTTTTATCATTTAATGTGAGTCCGGTTTTGGGCTTTCTTACTGAACTGGTAAGTTTGTTGTTGTTGTTGTTGTTGTTGTTTTTTGGGGGTTTTCTGTTTTTTGTTTTTGTTTTGTTTTTGTTTTTTTACTGGGCTGTAGGAATTAGATCATTTGCCCTGTTTCCCTCTTTGCCTTGGCTGCCAGGAAGCTTAAAATTCAGTTCCCTTTCTGTGGAAATGTATGTACTTTGCCTGGTAGCATGAAACTCCAGTACAAGCAGGAGATGCTGACTGTGGCAAAGGGGACATTTCAAAGCATTAGTGAGCCCTCTCAGAGAACTAACGAGCAGCACGGGAGAAGAAAAGCCAGATGATGGTTTTCTCATCATTTCAAGGATGCTGTGAGCGTTCCAAACTGACCAAAGGCATTGCTGTGTGAGAAAGCCTGGTGGTTAAACGATACAGATTTCTGGGTCATGATTATAACGTATTACCTTCCTCTGCAGGAGAATCCCTTTCTGTTCACCTACAAGAACAGCAACTACCTGCCCAGGCTGCTAAAATCTCCTGAGGAGCTTGAGGTAGGCTCGGGTTTTCTGTGATTGACAAACATGAACCAGGGGCGGTACCCCTTGCCGAGTCTTTGGAAGTTTCTACGTGGTTCCCTGGAACCCCATGAGCCCACGGGGAAGGGTCAAAGGGTCAGGTGTGTGACCGCCCCGTTCGTGCTTGAAGCAGGCCAGCCCTATATCCCTGTCTTTGATTTTTTTTTTTTAATCTTTATTTCCTTTTGAGAGAAAGAGAGCGTGAGTGGAAGAGGGACAGAGAGAGAAGGAGACACAGAATCCAAAGCAGGCTCCAGGCCCTGAGCCCAGAGCCCGGAGCCCGATGCAGGGCTCGAACTCACAAACCGTGAGATCGTGCCCTGAGCCGAAGTCGGACCCTTAACCCCTATCTCTGTCTTTAGAACGGCCTCAGCAACCAGCATCCTGAGGCTTCATGGGGCGTGGTGGGGTGCTCAGCACTGCCTGCTCCCTGTTTTCTTCTGACATAAACCAAGAATCCTCAGGCTTTCCCCAAATCACCGACGAGTCCTTTTGAACTCACCTGAGGGCTTAATCTGAGGAGAAAGTTAAGAAAAAGCAGAGGAATGCGGTGAAGCGCGAAACCAGACAGCATGGAGGCCAGAAGGCCTTCGAAGTTGGCGCACGCCCGTGGGGGCCGCCTCGTGCCTCCTCACGCCTCCCTTGGTGCTTGTCTCAGGAGTCCTTCTCTGATCTTTCCTGTCAAGATGAGATAGGGCACCCTGCACTCCTCTGGGGAGCTGAGAAGCACTTCAAGGCTGATGTCCTCACTCTCAGAGGACTGCGGACCGAGACGAGTTGAGACGAATTCACTCCTACTACCCTCCCCGCCAGCGGCAAAGACGACGGCCTGGGTCCCCAGCACAAAGCCTGAGAGACACAGCAGGAAAGACTCTTGATTTATCATCATGTCCCTCACGTTCTAACCGATACCTCAGCGTGAGGATATACCTGAGAGGCAGCAGGGCGCTCTGGGGTTCAAATCCAGGCTCTTCCACTTACTGGCTCTGTGTCATTGAGCAAGGCACTTACCATCTCTGTGACATGCTAGTCACAGCCCCACCTCACAGAGTTGTTACTAATGATAAGCTCATATGCGGAAAGTACGTGAAATGGTGTCGGTACGCTCTGAGTTCTATACAAGCGTTGCCAGTATTTGTCATCTGGTAGGAGACAGTGACACATTCCCTCAGGATACGTTTATTGAAAGCCTTCTGTGTGCCACTAGAATGCAAGCAGGGATTCAGAGCAGGGGCTCATCACTATTTGTTGAATGGCTACATGGCTGGGTGGGCAGAGGAATACCGGGCATAAGAGATAAAGCCACAGATAAAATCCGTTGCTCGTCCCAAGGAACTCAGCCTCGTGGAGCCAATCAGCAGTCGCGGCATGACTCTAATTCAAGTTTCCGTGGGTATTCTGGGAACACAGAGGAAGCGACTGACGGGAGAGAGGTGACATAGTTTCCCAAAGAAGACCAACAACCCCAGCCTTGAAGGATGGCCAAGGGTGACCCGGTGGATGGGCGTGTGGGAACGTGGAGGGAGGGGAGGGTGAGGGGGGGAACGGAGGTAGACTCGGGCAGAGGCATGGAGAGCGTGAGAGCTGGGTCCAGAGCTGGTGGTTTAGAATGTCAGGGTCCTCTTAGGATGCGCCAAGGGGGATGAACTTTGTGCGGATGTTAATACAGCAGAAATGTATTTTTTTTCAACCAACACATATTTATTGAGCATCACTGTGCACCGTTCTGGGCTCCGAGGATACAGTACACAAAACAAACAAAACTCCCTGCTTTCACTAAGAATTTGGGCGGGGGTGGGGGTGGTGGTGACACTGTTATATTATGCTGAGAGGGAGAGCATCATCTCTATGGGTTCAGAAGGCTGGGGAGGAAGCCCCCAGGACTGAAGGCTGTAGATGCTGTAATATTCCAGGCAAGAAGTAACACGGGCCTGAGGGGGCACCTGGGTGGCTCAGTGGGTTAAGCGTCTGACTTCGGCTCAGGTCATGATCTCACAGCTTGTGGGTTCGAGCCCCGCATCGGGCTCTGTGCTGACAGCTCAGAGCCTGGATCCTGCTTCAGATTCTGTGTCTCCCTCTTTCTCAGTCCCTCCCCCACTCAGCCTTATCTCTCTTTCTCTCTCTCTCTCTCTCTCTCTCTCTCTCTCTCAAAAAAGATAAATAAACATTAAAAAAAAAAACCTATTTTTGAAAAGTAACACAGGCCTGGATGAAGGTCAAGGCACTAGAGGGGAGGCGACAGGATGGGGAACATTTAGGAAAGGATTTTGTGGACACTCAGATGTGAGTGTTCATAGAGAGGGAGGGATCTTAAGGGATACCTAGCTTTCTATACTAAGGGGTGCTTTCCAAATACAGGCCCCACTTCTCACCCAATTTCCTATGTTGCAAGATCCATTTCTCCTTCTCTGTGCCTCTCATTTCAGGTGACAGATGCAATGGAAATCAGGTGCCCTGACAAGGACCCCTCCAACACGATTCCCACTTCAGGTACATGGCTCAAATCAAGCAATTTTTAACCTCATTTGAGGCTCGCAATCATCAACATAAGGGCAACCTTAACGGGCTTTCCACACAGTCTGGGATACATCAGAGGGGGTTTTTTTCCAAGGACAATGGAAGTAGCTCCTGATGTGTGTTTGGAAGTTCGTGTCTGTGTTTGATTGTTCTTGAGCTACAACATGATAACACCAGTAGCAGAAAGCATTGATTAAGCGTTAACTGTGTACCACGTCTTGTCCTGCGAAGAGCCCAGGATGAGTTGAGTGCGCTGCTGTCATTGTCCCTCTGCCGTGGAGCCTTAACGAACCAGTGAATTTTTTCTCCAAAAGACAAAACAGTCTTTAAGCAGGAGGCAGAAATAACCGGTCCATACGTCAGAGCCATAGGCAGGAGGCACTCCTACACTGCACGGAACAGGAAAGCACACCATCTTAGAAACGTGCTGTTCTCACTGCTTCTCAGTATTTCCAAAATGACTGTTGCCGGGCCGTGAAAATGAAACTCGTGGAATGTTCCAGGTGACATCCTCCCAGAAAGGGGCCGGCTAAGGGCTAAATCGTTTCTTCTAGATGAGCCTGTCTGAGAGTGATGGCTGTGTGCATGTGACCATGGGAGGTCATGGAGCGGGGGTTGCAGGGAGGAGGCTGTACGTTGACCTGTAGGACTGACCCCATCAGCGCAGGAGCATTCCTGCAACAGTGCGATAGGTTCCCTTGCTTGGTCCTAGAGGGCGACTCCTTTGTTCATTGAGTCATTCACTTGATTATTAGGTGATTGTCGAATGCCTCCTAAGTGCCTTCCAAGACAGAAAATTAGGTTTGAAGATGTCACAGCGCCTAGCAGGGTTCTTTCAGGGATGCACATCTTTGTCGTCAGACTGTTTTCTTTTGCTGAGCGTTAGTAGAACAACAAAGTGTCAGCCTACCTTTCATGCAGGTCTTAGCTCTCTACGCTCAAATTAAGCCACATGAATGGCAAGTAAGTTAAAATGTTTGTAACAAACTTCAGTCTGTAACTGGTTCTTGTTCTAAGTTGCAGAACAATGGAATAGGAGATCAGGCACACACACACACACACACACACACAGAGCGCGCGCTCGTGCGTGTTTAATCTTTAGATTTTATCCCCTTCATACTTGGTGACAACTTAGTCCTATTGGTTAGTTTACTAGCAGAACTCTAGCAGCAGAAACAAATTATCAGCTTCCTACACAGGCTGTCTGACAACAAAAACACAAAGATGTACGTATATATGTATGTCCATGCATTTGCATGTATAGGGACAGAGAGAATTTGAATTTTTTAATCGCCAGTCTTTACAGAGAAATGATATCCATCCCTTTTTTAATCTTATCATTCTGAGAGGATGAACTATAAAGTATTTTGCAATCTTTCCAGATTATGTTCCTGTCATAATGATAACCAATCCCTTAGAACGTATCTCAACATCTGAAAGCAGATAAAATGTGAACCTTTTCTTTATCCTCTGACCCTGAAGATTATTGTGTTTATTGGCATTTGAAGATGGAAGCACAAGAAATCTTAAGACCTTGAGATCGAAGATACTCCAGTGATAGGGACCGTCTGAATAAGCAAATAGGTACATTTAGGTCTCCTCGATCTAACCAAGTGGGCATGGAACCAAAATGCTCTCTCGCTCCAACTGGGTGACGGCCATCCTAAATGTGAGCTGGGCCTGCCCTTCTGAGTCCTGCCTGAAAGGTGTCATTTAGGAAAATGACCACTGCTAACTGGGCAATAATAAAAAACACATTTCATTAGCACGTGTGATCTACGAATGGACATTTTAACCATCCTTGTGATTGTTGAGGTAGTTAAAAGAGAGTTAGCACAGGGCCACATTATTAGTTTTTCTTGACAACTGTCCTATTTCTGGTGAGGTCATTCACTCCTCTGGAGATCATGTTTGCAATTTCTGATTGAGATGATGGTATCTGATGCATACTCAAAAGAGCAGATTGTCGGGGCGCCTGGGTGGCTCAGTCGGTTGAGCGTCCAACTTCGGCTCAGGTCATGATCTCACCGTCTGTGAGTTCGAGCCCCGCATTGGGCTCTGTGCTGATGGCTCAGAGCCTGGAGCCTGCTTCCGATTCTGTGTCTCCCTCTCTCTCTGCCCCTTCCCTGCTCATGCTCTGTCTCTCTCTGTCTCAAAAATAAATAAAAACATTAAGGAAAAAAAATTAAAAAAAAAAAAAGAGCAGATTGTCTTATCTCTATATCTCCAATGACTCAGCACATAATAGGAGCCCAGTAAATGTTCACTGAATTAATTTTGTTAATGTTTACTTATCTTAAGAGAGCACGCAAGCAAGTGTGAGCAGGGGAGAGGCAGAGAGAATTGCAAGCCGGCTCCGCGCTGTCAGCACAGAGCCGAACATGGGGCTTGATCCCATGAACTGTGAAATCATAACCTGAGCTGAAATCGAGAGTCAGACACTTAACCAACTGAGCCACCCAGGCGCCCCTCGCTGAATTAATCTTAATGAGTATTTCCAATGTAGCAAACCAACAGTTCTCAGGGTTGGAAAAGATCTTTAAATCCAACTAGATCAAGGTATCTGCCATTAAAGCAATTTTTCACTAAGACTCTGTATAAAATAACTGTTTTGCCTTCAGAGTTCTTTTCAAAAACCTGCCGTGTGCCCTTCCCTAGTGTTTCTCTTCAACCATCCACAGATACATATAACTAACCAAAAGTGATGTCTCAATATAGGGCACTGCCTTCATCAATAGGCCACAGCCCTTGGCAACCTGGATGCCTCACTCATGCCATCTGGGGCCCACAGGTGATGAACCTCTTCCTCCAATCTGTGAGCCTTTTGGAATGAGATATAGAGAGTTGATATAACTTTTTTTTATAACTAATTGGTATTTGGTAGCAAAATAAATAAATAAAAGCTGCCGAGTTTTCTTCCCAGTCAGTGCATACATGCTCTCTCTAAGTGCTATCTCCTGTGGGCTTTCTAACTTTGCACATACTTGCATCATTTTATATTACCCCATGGTCTGCCCCTAACACAGTTGGGGTAACTAAGAAAAATATGTTGGGCCTGGCAGCTGACCTAAGGTTTTCCCAGTGAGAAAAAGAGTAGCATTTTGCAAACAAAAGAGTAACAATACGGAGCCGGGGGACGTGGCTCCTGGCTCTGTACTCAAGCTGGCTATCTTGATGTCAAGCTGCTAATTCCATGCTGGGGGAGAAATTCACAGTATTTGAAAATAGAGAACTACAAAGCTATTTATATGCCACTGTCACCAATAGTATAAATCTAGAACAGTTCATTCACTTAAGACATTGGCTCCTTTGTAAGTCCTTGATGTTCTTTATTATACCCATTTGACTAAAATGAGCTACTCAAAAGCTGATATGAAAAATGCCCTAGTTACAGAACTGGGAGATCATTAAGGGTTTCACTCTGTTATGACCCAGCACTGCAATGACCCTGGAGATGTTTCTGTAATCATCACCTGTTCATGGGTCTTGTGGTTTAACCTCATCTATGACTAGGAAGCACTGATGCCCCACAGGGAATAACAGCCCACCTGTCCCCTTGCTCTGTCCCCTGAGCATGTTCAAAATCACCCAAAGACACTTGGACGCATAGGTATTTCCCTTCCCTGCAGTGCCCATCATTTAAAGCTTTGAGAGCTGTAAGGTCTCTGACACAGAGTCACTAACTTAGCCTGTAATTCAACTTAGCACATTGCTTGAGCCCCTGTGCTCCCTAAGGCACAGATTGCTTCATACAAACTCACACTGAAGTACTTCCAAGGCACAAACAAGGTTCTAACATGGTGCCAGCAGTTTAGCACCGTTGTTAACATAAGTTAGCATAAGTCCTGAGAATCAGAGGGCACAGGAGCCGGGTGGCCCTAGCTGACAATTGTGAGGAAAGCTGCTCTTGTCAGATTACGGCTGCACGTGGTTTAAGCTCTTGCGGCATACAAGACAAAGCTCCAAAGTGTCAAGTCTTCTCCTCATTCTATAGTCTACCATTTTTTTACCATTCGTGATATTTCATCATAGCTTGGATGGCCTTCTGATAAGAGGCCCCCTCTGTAGAAATCTTGATGAGTTATTGATGTATTTATCAACTCATTTCAGGGTGGTGGACAGTTTGTACCAGATAATGTTTAGCTAATCAGCCCACATAAATTTAATCTTATCTCTAAGTAGTTCTTTCCCCAAGGAGAGCAATTGCTAAAGTGCTTTGCTGTGTTTCCAGGCTGTGTCTTTGTCATGCGTGATGATATTAACAAAGCTCAAATCAAGGTCTGCAGGATGTTAAACAAATGAAACCTGTCGGGCTCTATATTAATAAAATCCCAGATAAGTCAGACCCCTCCCACATAGTCTTGGTTTGGTTTATTATCTCTCAAAGGAAATCCTTCAGATCTATCTACACATATACATACACACACACACACACACACACACACACACACACAGATGTGCACATGCATGCACATGTGTGTACGTTTCCTTTCTGTCTGCTACAAATTTAGGCGGCAGGATGACCAGTTCCAGCTGCCTCTTTAGCAAACTATAATGAGCTTTTGAAGCAAATCTGCCCATCGCTTCCACATTTTATCAGCTTCAAAGATTTCCCCTAACCTTTGCCCCCTAGCAAGTGTTCACAGCATTCACTGTGGCTATCATACATTATGGCAACAAGAATATAGTGATTGGCTGTCATCACCAGCAACTAAAATAAGCCCTCTCGAGTTGAGGGAAGGAGGTCTTACTTTCTGTTGGGTTGCCTTTTTTTACCCATAGCCCAATTTCTTTGAGAAGAGGTCATTTTAAAGTCCTCGGGCTCAACCCCATGGATGTGTGCTAATGTGTGCAGCTGGCTTTGTGATTTGATATTGTTCTTCTAACCACATACCCTTACCCCACCCCCTCCCAAGACCTACTGAAGCAGAAACTCTGAGGGTAGGAACCGACCATCTGCGTTTTAACAAGCTCCCCAAATGATTCTGATGCACGCTTAAATTTGAGGATCACTAATCTATATATTTTGCATACGCACATTCACAATTATGTATGTGTTCGTTTGCATGCTGTCATTAGAAGAGGCAGGGACTTTTACTTTTCCAATGAGAGCAGATCCTCAGTGGGAGTGGCAGCTTCTCATCTGCAGATGGTATGGAGGTGAGGTAGACAAGATGTCTCCATGGAAGGAGCCAGGACCTGGAGATCCCTTTGAACATTGTTTTCACTGAGTATTTTTTTTTTAATTTTTTAGCATTTTACTTATTGTTGAGAGAGAGAGAGAGAGAGAGAGCAGGGGAGGGGCAGAGAGAGAGGGACACACAGAATCCAAACCAGGCTCCAGGCTCTAGGCTCTGAACTGTCAGCACAGAGCCCAATGTGGGGCTCGAACTCACGAACTATGAGATCACAATCTGAGCCAAAGTCGGACGCTTAACCGACTGAGCCGCCCAGGCGCCTCTGAGCTGATTTTTTTTTTTAACAGGATGGTATAAAATTTTATCTTCATTATCAACAGATCCTGGAATAGATTAAGTGTTGGTTACATCTCCACGCCAACTCCTGCCTGGCTCCCAGACCACACTGCCAGGAGCCGTTTCAGGCCCTGAGGGTAACTGCTCACCTTGTGGCACCAGGTTTCACCAAAGGCCCCAGAATCCCCTCTGAAATTTGGGTCCACCTCCTAGGTCCTGAGCCCATGTGCAAGTGCTCCAAGGAAGAGATAACAGTCAGGATCCACGGCCTTATGACAGGCTTGTGACAGATTTAGTATCTCTGCCCAAGCTGAATTACAATTACAAATGGACTTTCTCTCTGTTTTCCTGGAAGATCGCTCACTTTCAGAGGAGATAAGAACCCCTGTCTTGCATTAACTGGTGTGTGCGTTCTCAGTTCACAGGCTGAAGCTGGCTGACATCAAGGTAATCGCAGCCCTGGGGGACTCTCTCACGGTGAGTTACCCCAACTGTGGGAGGAGCGGGCAGGGGAGGAGATCTGGATTAATGGGAGAACCCGGAGAGAGGAACTCTCACGACCGTGGTCATCTCCCGCCCCTCTCCGGTCCCCATGTCCATCCTAACCTCAGTATTCCTCTCCCGACGCTGGAATGAATGAGCGAGCAGGAAGTGGGGGGACCTCAGAGGGAGCAGCCGTGACAGAAGTGACCCAGCCCAAGTCTCACAGCCTGGTAGCATTGGGCAGATTGGACTAGGTCTCACACACAGTGTGGGGCTCCTTCAAAGACCCGGCGCTGGTCATGCAGGAAGTCAAAGGAGGGTGAAGAGAGGATTAGGCGGGAGCAGGCGTTAATGGGGTGGGGGGCAGGGGGCAGAGGAAGACGAGGTACTCAGAATGATGCCAGCCCATCTCTGCAGCTGCTCCATGATGACCCCTCAGGCCTGCAAAGCGCTATCCAATGAAAGCAAAATCAGGTCCTTTGAGAGACGGGGTAGAGGTTCCCGGACACAAGTTTCCATTTACTAGTGGCCCATTCCAGACGCATCCAGCTGCTGTTCTCTGGGTCCGTAGAACTCAGGGCCTCCAGGAGAATCTTCCCCAAAGACCAGTAGACACCTTTCATGTCTGTGGCTCATTAGCATTTCATCTATCCCATCGACATCCTCAATACAATCTTCCGAAACACGACTTACCTTAAACTTAACCCAAAAAGAAGACGGGGCCGGGTAGGTGCACTGAGTGCCCACGACTGCATAGCTTGCAGGCACTGGACCAGGACCAGCACTCATGAGTCCTGACTCCAAGTCCAGAAGCCTGTCCCTGTACTGTGGCTGTGCCCTCCATGACCCCTCAGTGGTTCTTTACCCCAAACACCCTACTGCTTGTAACTTTCCGGAAGAACAGGCAGGCTGGTCCTTAGCACTGCTTATCCCAAGCACTTCCTGCTGGATGTGGCCTGGTAGCTCCCCCCGACACCTGACCTCTGACCCCTGACCTGCTGGTCTGCTTGAAGATGCTCTTGGGAGAAGCAGTCCTCAAGAATCAGCATAGCTGTTCAGGACTTCCTGGGAGGCAAACTTTGGAGTGTGACATACATGGCAGGTGGCAGAGAACTGGGCACCAGACAGCAGGGGTCACACCCTGGAGGGTCTCCCATGGAGGCCAGCCTCCCCCCTGGCCTGCCTCAGAGGCCCGTCTTCAGCATGACCTTTGCAATGGCCCTGCTTGGAAATGACACACTTTAGGCAAGGGCCACGCATCTGCAGAGCGTGCCCAGATTGAAGTTTTAAAAGACCGTGTCTTTCTTCAGCTTAAGGGTAGGTACACGGCATTGTATTACTATTTTTAAAATTGTACATACAGGAGATACGTTGATTTCAAAGGATTGTGATATGTTTCCTTTTATGGTCTATTTCACAACTTTTCAAAAGGAGGTGGATGGGACCCAGAAATGGGTCCTTTTGAAAAGTGGACACTTGCAGTCTGATTTTCAGAGCCATTTTGCTAGCCTGTAGCACTTGGTCTTGGTCTGGGCCGGGTTTTTTAGGGTGAGGCCAAGCGGTGGATGGCACCAGGGTTCCCAGTGGGAGCTCTCACTCATCTCTGTAAAGGTAGATGCATATCGAGACAGGGTAGGGGTGCCTGGGTGGCTCAGTCGGTTAAGCGTCCGACTCCGGCTCAGGTCACGGTCTCACAGTTCGTAGGTTCGAGCCCCGCGTCGGGCTCTGTGCTGACAGCTCAGAGCCTGGAGCCTGTTTCAGATTCTGTGTTTTCCTCTCTCTCTCTCTGCCCCTCCTCTGTTCATGCTCTGTCTTTGTCTTAAGAATAAATAAACATTAAAAAAAAAAAAAAAGACAGGGCACTGTCTACACTCTAGATTCTAGGGAGTGCTCAGGTGCTCCCAGCCACAACTAGAACACGGACCTTCCAGCTGAGGGGGCAGGGAAACTCACCTCTTGATGTTCCCTCTCAGGCAGGTAATGGGGCTGGATCAAAGCCTGGGGACATCTTGGATGTCTTGACTCAGTATCGAGGCCTGTCCTGGAGGTGAGTGAGGGTGTGGCAAGACGCTGAGTGACCCTTTCATTGCAGGGCAGGGGAGGACCCCTGAGCATCACGGAGAACAATTCTTCTAGCAGACACATGAGCCACCTAGTGCTTTTCAACAGAAGCTTCTGGTTTACTTTGAGGAAGGACTGTAAGCTTCCCCTGAACCACTGCATTCCCCAGGACAGGAACTGAGGCTTGAACAGGCCGAGTTTGGGAGAGAAAGAACATAAATGTTTGGGTTGAAAAGCTTCTCTAGTTTCCATTTCTCTCTCTGGGGAGTAGGCTCAGAAGGAGACAGTGGCCTTTTGGAACCGGAGTTGTACCTGAATCCTGGCTGCCTGACTCTGTGCGACTCTGAGCAAGTTACTCAACCTCTCTGAGCTTGTCTCTTTATCTTCCATGCAGGGATAATAATACAGCCTGAGCACTGTCATGAGGAATAGAGAGAGTTTAAGCATCCAGCAAAGTAGATATAAATGGAAGTTTGTATCGTTATTAAAGGGCCTTCATTTTACAGATGAGAAGGCAAGGCTCAGAGAGGACAAGTAACCTATCTAAGATCACACAGCCAGATGATAAAAGGGCAAAAAATAGAGCAGATGGTTCCTGACCCCTAATCTGGCACATTCCCCCATGGTGACTGCTTCATGCAGGCTTGTTCCTGCTCTGGCTGTAATCAAACCCAGGCTGCCCCAAGCTGCAGTGAGCAGGACTCGGGATTTGAACACCCGGCTCATGCCAAGCATGAGAGGGTAGGTCTGGTGTTTCCTCAGCCCGGAATTTGGCATCCCTGGTACCAGACTGACCCTGAGTGTTGAATCCCAGACATCCTCCCTTGCGATGTTGCACAGAATTAAACCCCAAACATTTGAGACCCTTTTAAACGTTCTCAGATGTACTTGGCAGAGAATGAGGGGATATGGAAAAGCAGGGAATCCAATAAACTGTGGAATGTTGTATATTCTCATGCCTAGAAACCCATCCAACTTTGATTTGCTTGGAATTTTAGAAGCAGCTTAGAAGATGGGTTCTCTCTAGAAGACACGCTTTAAAAGCAGGTTTTTTCAAGCCAAATAGGAACAGAATGACGAGGGCAAACGTTTCCGCTGTGTTTTCAATAATAACAGCCGTACCCAGCTGCAGTGGCGAGTGGGGCGCGACTTGGCTCAGCATCCAAGGAACGCTCACCTTCCCTTTAGAAAAACAGGGGCAAAGGGGGACCACTTTGTTCCCCTGTCCCAACGTCAGTGCTCGAAGTTAAAAAAAAATCATCGCAGGGGCGCCTGGGTGGCGCAGTCGGTTGGGCGTCCGACTTCAGCCAGGTCACGATCTCGCGGTCCGTGAGTTCGAGCCCCGTGTCGGGCTCTGGGCTGATGGCTCAGAGCCTGGAGCCTGTTTCCGATTCTGTGTCTCCCTCTCTCTCTGCCCCTCCCCCGTTCATGCTCTGTCTCTCTCTCTGTCCCAAAAATAAATAAACGTTGAAAAAAAAATTAAAAAAAAAAAATCATCGCAGTCACCGTGCCATTTAAATCTGTTTCTTCTCTGGGTGTTCTGGTTTGTGGGGACAAAAAGAGGAGTTGCTATGTTCCGGTTTGTTTTTCTACTGGAAATAATGAGGAAATGACAAGCTCCAAGCCCCCAGGGTGTCTCTCAGAAGAAAGGCCTGTCTTGGGAGTGTCTGAGGTGTTTTGGCATCAATGGCATTTTCAACCTCGGTTTTCTTTTTTGTTCCACCACAGTGTCGGCGGCGATCACAACCTCAGCAGCGTCACCACCCTCGCAAGTGAGTACGCGATCGCCCGGGCTCGGCCCTGTGCGGCTCAGCAGCGCCTCCTGGCGGCGGTCGCGGGCTCGGCAGGGAGCCGGCCGGCGGGACTCAGCCACGTTCACCAGGGGGCGCAACGTCCCCGAGGCGGTCGCCTGTCTCTGATGAACATCATGAAAGCCTTTGAGAGATCTTTTCTTTTCTTTTCTTTTCTTTTCTTTTCTTTTCTTTTCTTTTCTTTTTTCTTTTCCTTTCCTTTCCTTTCTTTTCTTTTCTTTTCTTTTACTTTCTTTTCTTTTCTTTCTTTTCCTAATTTCTGTTTTTCTCTCTTTCTCTTTTTTTTCTCTTTCTCTCCCTCTCTTTCTTTTTAAAGAGAAATTGTATCTGTAAAAGGAAGGAAGAGAGGGAGAAGAGACCTCAGGCTAAATCTTAGTGTAAGTCATTCTTAGGAAATGATTTCAGAAAGAAGGAAAGTAAACCCATCTCTGTTTTGCCTGTCATTCTGAGCAGAGCACCTTTCTGGGAGGCATTGATCTGGGCTTGGGCTCCATTAATCACCACTGTATACAAAGACGTTGCATCCCTGAGTGTCACTAGGAAACAAGCCACCACCACAGCAGTAGTTTGTGCAGGCTGTGCAAACACAGCCGTATTGGGGGCCTGATGTTTTCCTTGAATCACTTCACCCGCAGCCTGCTTGGAATAATTTTTTTTTTTTTTTTTAAGCCTGAACTATGTTCTCTGAATGGTCTGGTCTGATATGTCTTTTTATTCTCCTTAGCGCATGCACACCACAGTGCTTGTTCTTAAAGTAGGCATTCACTAAATGTCACAATTATTTTCCCTTCAGATCTTCCAGCTAATAATATTTGTTTTTTTGCCTGAGAGGAACTTAATTGGTCCTGCTCTCATTTACTTTTCTTGGAATTATCCCTTTGTAACATATCTTTGGAAGGCAAGGAGTTCTTTGAGGTTTAAGGCACCAAGACTTTGGTGATGGAGATGGCTTGATCTCCACCTAGGCAGGACCGATTGGGCTTCATGTATGGTTATCTGTGTTGCTATTTGCAAATTCTGGTGCATTGAAATAGGTACAGTCCTGTGACACGTGTCCTCCCTGTCTTTACTGCTAGGGGAGGTGGTTTGGGTTGCTTCTGTGAGTGTGATTGACTGGGCTGTGAGCTGGCCCTGCGTATACATCAGTTTTGCTGGGCTTCCTGATTCCCACGCTATTATCGTGGATGAGGTGATTGGATCTTTCACTACAGTGATTTACAAAGGACTGAGACAGTGTCACCCCCAGGGTAGAGTCCATACTTGGCTGAGCAGCAGACCATTGCCTGTTCAGACTCTTCCTCACAACAGTATGAAGTAACTGGGTAATCCACAGGGAAATAACTGCATGAAAATGTGTTCGAAGATTTACGAGAACATAAGGTCAGAACAGAACCTGGGTTCGCCTCCCTCTTCAATTTAATTGAAGATACTCCAGGTCTGGATGCTTGGGAAATAGGAGAATAAAGCAAGGCTCTTGCCCTCATGACATCATCACAATCTCTTTGGGGACATGTCTCCCTAAAGACAGACACATATACCGATAATGATAGCTATGTACAATGTTTAGGGGAAAATAAATAAGAAGATGGTTAACTGTGCCTTCTGAAAGGGGTTTTAAGAAATAGAATTCATCAGGTAAGGAAAGGGGATGAAACATTCCTGGCAGAGGGAACTGCATGCACCAGCAAGTTCTTGCTCGAAACAATGTGTAATGCTTTTCTGTGATATTCATGATAAGTAGCTAGCTGGCCTATGCTGGGTTCCCCCTGTAATGGGAAACCTAGGAGAATCCATTCTATTTGCAGATTGCTCTGGTGATTTCACAGCTCTTCCTTCTGTTGAGTAGAAATCAGAGTAATTTCTTTCTTTCTTTCTTTCTTTCTTTTTTTTTTGAATGTTTATTTTGAGAGAGAGAGAGGCAGAGCGAAGGAGAGAGAGGATCCAAAGCAGGCCCTACACTGTCAGCGCAGAGCCTGATGCAGGGCTTGAACCCACCAACCATGAGATCATGACCGGAGCCTAAACCAAGGGTCAGACACTCAACCAACTGAGCCACCCAGGCACCCCCCCCCCCAGAGTAATTTCTATCCATTGGGTACAGTGTCTCCAAGGAATGAGTTCAGTACATCTGTGTTGTGTAGGTTCTATTGCATTCTTGACTCAGCAAATGAAGTGCATCCTTTATACTTTTCAGATTACAAAACATTGCTGAAAGAAATGTAATCAGACCTAAACAAATGGAAAGACGTTCCATGTTCATGGATCAGAAGATATAATACTGTTAAGATGGCAACATCCTCCAAATTACTCTACAGATTTGATATAATCTCTATCAAAATTCCAGGTGGCTTCTTTGCTTAAATAGACAAGCTGACTCTAAAATTCATATGGAAATTTAAAAGACCCAGACTAGCCAAGATAATTTTGAAAAAGAACAAATCCAGTGGACTCACACTTCCCAATTTCAAAACTTATAAAGCTGCAATAATGAAGACAATGTGGTACTGGCATAAGGATAGCCATATAGATCAATGGAATAGAATTGAGAGTCCATAAATAAACCTCCATACTTATGGTTAACTCGTTTTCAACATGAGTGCCAACACCAATAGGTAAGAATAGTCTTTTCAATAGTGTTGGGATAAGTATATAGCCATATGCAAAATGATGAAGTTGGACTCCTACCTCACACCATATACAAAAATGAACTCCAAATGGATAATAGGCTTAAATGTAAGAGCTAAAATTCACCCTTAGAAGAGAGTATAGGAGCAAATCTTCATGACCTTGGGCTAAACAAAGACTTCTTAGACACAACACCAAAAGCACAAATGACAAAAGAAAAAAAATAGATGGGACAAAATTAAACACCTTTGAGCTTCAAAAGATACCCTCAAGAAAGTAAAAAGACAACCCAAAGAGGGAAAGAAGATATTTGTAAATCATATCTGCTAAGAAACTTATATCTAGAAAATATAAAGAACTCTCAAAACTCAATAATAAGACAATTTGATTTGGGTCCATTAAAAATGGGCAAACAAGGGGCGCCTGGGTGGCACAGTCGCTTAAGCGTCCGACTTCAGCCAGGTCACGATCTCGCGGTCCGTGAGTTCGAGCCCTGCGTCGGGCTCTGGGCTGATGGCTCAGAGCCTGGAGCCTGTTTCCGATTCTGTGTCTCCCTCTCTCTCTGCCCCTCCCCCGTTCATGCTCTGTCTCTCTCTGTCCCAAAAATAAATAAAAAACATTGAAAAAAAATTAAAAAAAAAAGGGCAAACAATTTGAATAGACATTTCACCAAAGAAGATACACAAATGACCAATAAGTAGATAAAAAGATGTTCAACATTAGTAGCCATTAAAGCAAACCAAATCATAATGAGGCACCATTGCACATCCACTATATTTGTTATTTTTAAAAAGATAAATGTTGGTGAGGATGTGCAGAAATTAAGACCCTCCTACACTCCTGACAGGAACATAAAATCACACAGATGCTTTGAAAAAAGGTCTGTAAGTTCCTCAAAAGTTTAAACAGTTACCATAGGAGCCAACATTTCTCTTCGTAAATGTATATCCAAGAGAAATTCACACAAAATAAACTTGTTCGTAGCAACATTATTCATAATGGCCAAAAAAGTGGGAACAATCCCAATCCTTCAAAGGATGCATGGATAAATGTGGTCTATCCATACAGTGGGATATTATTTAGTAGTGAAAGGAATCAAGTGCTGATGCGTGCTGTAACATGGATAAACTCTGAAAACATGGTCCGTGAAAGAAGCCAGCCACAGAAGTCATGTTGTATGATTCCGTTTATATGAGATGTATAGAATAAGCAAACCTACACAGAGAGAAAGTAAATTAGTGGTTGCCACAGGGTTGGAGGGAATGGGGAGTGACTCGTGTGCACAGAGTTTCTTTTTGGGGGTGATGAAAATGTTCTAAAGTCCATTATGTTGATGGTTGCACAACTCTGTGAATAGACTAAGGGCTATTGAACTGCACTTTAAGTTGTGAATGTCATGGTGTATGAATTCTATCTCAAAAAATTATTATATATCTAGAAAACAAAAAGAAAAATGCATGAGAGAGGCACCAGACCCAGACTCACATTTATTCATGACAATAATTCATGAAACACCAATGTACGTGTGTTGCCCATGTGGTTAAGCACCAGCCTGCTGGACATTTTCTTTCTGGGCTGAGTCAACAGTAAGGTTAAGAGCTTGAAGGGTGAGGGTTCTTTGTCCCTAACATGCACTGGCACTTATCAAAGGAATGTGAAGATTGTTTTCGGGGTAGTTACTAAGCATGTCTCTTCTTTTTATTTCCAGACATCTTCCGCGAATTCAACCCTAACCTAAGGGGCTTCTCTATTGGTACCGGGAAAGAAAACAGTGCTGGAGCGTTCCTAAATCAAGCTGTGGCAGGAGCCCGAGCTGAGTGAGCAGGGGAGCCTTGGGGGTGGCCCCAGAGGTCCTCTGGGGACCTAGTTGGGGGCTTGGCCTGGGCAGGGGTGTATGGTTGAAGGCTGGGAGGCTTGGTCCAAGGGAGAGGTCTGGGGGTCAAAGACCGGACTGGCTGGGCTCTCCTGGGGTGTCCCTCACTGTGGGACACAAACATACTAGCCCACCCCCAACACCACCCCAGAAACTAGTCACAGTTTGCTCTGATGCCAGGTATATGCTTTGAACTAATTACTTTGCCTTGTTTAGAAATCTCATGTCCACAGAAGACAGTGGTATGAGAGGGCTCAGTCTGAGTTCCAGTTTTCATTGCTTCCTCAGTGCTCCATCTTTCATGTCTTCTTCTCCTTGCCTTCCTCAGACATGCTTTCCAACAGTCTTTTCAGGCTCTCAACTTTGCACCCTTCCTGGGTCATTGAAGGAGCACGGGTCCTGGGAGGAAGCTCTGAGTCTGAGTCCTAGCACACACATCCCGCCTCCCTAAACCTTAGCCTCCGAGATGGACCTGGCTGTGAAGCTCTCCCATGGGGTGGCTATGGGGTTCCATGCCATGTTGGATGTGAAAGTTCTGGTGAGCTGGAAGTTGTGCAGACAGGTTGGGTCAGGATGGTGGTCCCAGTAGCAATGCAGCAGGAATGCAGGACCTACCTGGGTGAACTGGTGGTGAGCAGGGGTCCATGCACACTGAATGGAAGGTTCTGAGAGCAGGGTAGGCTTCCCTGGGTCCTACGCCTCCATTTCTCTCCATGATCCCCGAGCCTGGGGTGCTTCCTCAGATTTGCTACCTAGTCAGAGAAAAGTGAATACCACACTGAAGCTAGGATAAATATGGAAAGACCCTTTCTGTTTCTTTTCTTTTTTTTTTTTTTTTAAAGTTTATTTATTTGAGAGAGAGTGCAAGTTGGGGGAGGGGCGAGGGAGGGTGGAGAGAATCCCAAGCAGGCTTTGTGTTGATATGGGGCTCGAACTCATGAACTGCAAAATCATGACCTGAGCTGAAATTGGGAATCGGACACTTAACCAATTGAGCCAGCCAGGTGCCTCGATCCTCTCTGTTTCTTTTTTTCCTTTTCTTCCAACGTTTTTATTTATTTTTGGGACAGAGAGAGACAGAGCATGAACGGGGGAGGGGCAGAGAGAGAGGGAGACACAGAATCGGAAACAGGCTCCAGGCTCCGAGCCATCAGCCCAGAGCCCGACGCGGGGCTCGAACTCCCGGACCGTGAGATCGTGACCTGGCTGAAGCCGGACGCTTAACCGACTGCGCCACCCAGGCGCCCCAATCCTCTCTGTTTCTTAATCCTGTTTTTCTTCCAGAATAATCCCAAACCTCTTTACTATGAAGATCTTAGGGATTCTGTGTTTGGTTCCCAGATTCCCTGACATCATTTGGCCAGTTGATTCAATACCATCCCGAATCTACTCGCCACCTGAGTAACTCTTATTTATTCACAACAGGAATAATCCAAATGAGAGATTTTACAAAACCTGATCAGTTTTATAATGAATTCTGCGGCTTCGTTTTTCCTTTTGGTGGGGGAAAAGTGAAAGGTTACCAATTTACTGCCTAAAAATTGTGGCTTTAATATTACCATAGCTTTGCTTTTTCCCAAAGCATTTGTCAGCTTGTAGCATCAGGAGAGACATTTCTAAGCATGATTCGGTCAGGGAGGCATCCAAGAAGGAAACCTTCGTGGAGAATATAAAAGTAAGCAAAACAGAGCGTGATTCATATGGATTCCTCCCTTGCTGTCCTCAAGGCCACGGGGCTCTTTTGCACAAGTAATCCATTTGTCCAAGCACATCCTGAGATGTAGGGAGGAGTTAGGGATTATTACGCCCAGATGACAGATGAGGAAACTGTAGCACAAAGAGACAAAGTGGTCTGAACAAAAGCATCAACTCAGCCATGTGGTCTGTTGTCCTTGGGCCCTGCAGGCTTTATCCCGGGTCCAGTAATAACCCCTCATACCTAACAGCAGTGTCCAATGTACAAGGTACCTTCATGTTTTTTATCCCTGTGTTCTGTGTGGTTATTGTGAGTTGGACAGAACAGAGGTCAGGTACTCACATTTTCTTAATGAGGATATTGAGGCTCAGAGAGGTCAAGTAATCAGACTCTGGTCCACAGAGCAGGTGCCCTGATGGCTTCAGATTTACAGATGTGGAAACCAAGGCTCAAAGAGATTAAGTGGCTTACCCAAAACTCCCACCCAGGTCATCTTGATACTTAGTTCACTGTGGTTAAGACCAGGCTAGCTGGGCTAATAGTTAAGAGAGGACGAGATTGGGGTGCCAGGGTGGCTCAGTTGGTTGAGCATCCGACTCTTGGTTTCAGCTCAAGTCATGATCTTGAGGTTTGTGAGATCAAGCTCCAAGTCGGGCTCTGCTGTGACACCGTGGAGTCTGCTTGAGATTCTCTCTTTCCCTCTCTCTCTGCCCCTCCCCGACTGATGCTTGCTCACTCTCTATCTCAAAATAAATAAACCAAAAAAAAATTTTTTTTATTAAAAAAGAGAGGAAGATCTGACAACCATATTTTCCTGCTGGCACTGTGCCAGAGACTGTATTGATGGTGGTGGTGGTGGTAGCGATTCAGTGGATTATTTCTAATGTGGATGCTTACCACGTGCTACTCTAAGTTCTTGATCTCATCCATCCGACAACTCGATGAAGAAGGTATGCTTACCATCCCCATGGTACACAGGGAAACACTGAGGGTTTGCCAAGTCGAGTACTCTGTCAAGGTCTCACAGCTGGTCAGTGGCTGATGGAAGCAGGAGTCAGCCCCATGCTGTGTGGCACCAAGAGTGGCTCTTACTCCACAAGGCTCCTTTGCTCATCTCATTCGCTGCTCTCCATGACCCTCTCGGTTAGGGGGGGTTTATCTCTACTCTTTGGGGACTGCAAACTTAAGTTACATGACCACAGTCAGCAGGAGGCCACTAAATGTCAAGCCCGAGTGTGTCTGACTCAACCACGTCACCTCGAGGGTGCGGGTACCCTTGAGGTGGAGTTCATACCACAGAATCAGGCTCATACCCAGCAATGTATGACATGAAATGCACATGCAGCCTTCTGTCTGCCCCGAATGAGCCTGGCTTGGAAGAGAAAGGAAGACGTTTCATCAAGGAGGCCAATCAGGAAACATTCCTCTGAGTCACCCCCTCATGTGTGGTGTGCCCTGCCCTTCCCAAAGCACAGTCACCACTCCCCCACCTGCCCCCACACCTCCAGTGGAGACTGAATGGGAAAGGTGATCTGGGGCAGGAACATAGCCTTCAGTCCAACTATCCTGTTGCATATTTGGTTCCTGCCATCTCTGCGAAGTCCTCTCCCTGCCCCACTTCACAGTCCCTGCTTCTCAGGTGACTTCTTCCTATGTGCCCACAGGGATTTACCTGTTCAGGCCAGGAGGCTGGTGGACCTGATGAAGAATGACACGGTAATTCTGGGGGAAGCACCACCTGGGACCGCTTGAGGTAGGATTCCCCGGAAGAGAGAGTGAGCAGGAGAAATCCGTGGAGGCAGAAAGGCTCAGCTCTGGGGTAGAGGATGAGGCCACATGGAAGTCTAGAGAATCCACCTTTAAAAACAACAACGAATGATTTAGCACCTACAACCTGTGACCTATGATCTCAGGACCCCAAAACCAAAGAACAGGAATTGTTAATGTCCGTTAAACCCTCTGGTATATGAGGATCCATCCCTGCCAATGTTCAGCACTTTTCCTTGACTTGACTCTGGAGCAAGGCACTTACTTGTTGGTTTCTTATTCGTTTCAGAAGATAAATTTTCAGGAAGATTGGAAGATAATAACCCTGTTTATAGGAGGCAACGATCTCTGTGAATTCTGCAGTGACCTGGTGAGTCTCCAGGCCCTTAACTCAAGACTCCCCAGGGAAGGGATTGTCACCCTCGGTGGCTGGAGCAGTACAGCAGGGGTTGGGATTTGGGGCTTGTGGCCTGGGATTAACCCTGAGACCAAGGAGGCATTCACCTCCAGGAAAAGATTCAACCAAAGCTGGTTATGAAATTGATCTTGATTAAGTTTCATAACAAGGGAACCTTATCGTATCATATTCTAGAAACCAAGATAACATTCCAAGGATCTGGAAAAATCTGGCGTATCTTCATCTAGGTCATTATAAGTCAGCTCCTTTCTCGGGCATTGAACTGCCTTACCATCTCTATCTAGGCCGTCATTTGAACGGAAAAGTTGATTTCCTAATGCAAGCGTTTAGGCAAGGTTTGGAGCCAAGTCTCTCCGAGTTGATGGGAAACCCAAGAGCCAGGCTGCTGCCTCGTGGATGTGGCTCTTCTTCCTGGAACCCCAGAATCTCTGAGCTGTCCTCGGCCCTACTGACCACTCTCCTACCTGTGGCAGGAATGCCTTCCATAGAATCTAGCTGTTGAACATTCCCAGCAATAGGCAGCTCTTTTAATGTGCTCTACTTAGTATTAGAAGCAGGTACCAATTTTTTTGGTAGTGCTTTTTGTGTTAAGCCCAACTCGGCCTTCTTGTAATTTCTACCTTTTCTGCCTGTGCTAGGCATGCCTGCAACTCTTCTGCATGGAACCCAGCAGACTTTAAAGATAATAGGTTTTCTTAAAAATTTTATTTTATAAGCAATCCACATAGGAAGTATATCAAAGTACAGAAAAAAAAATTCTCTGTAATTGACAACATCCAGAAATGCCATGTCTAGCATGTCTTTCTAGCATGTTCCGTGATTGGGAAGCCATTGCTTTATTATTTGCTAACAATAGCATCATTCTGGAAATCTTGTTTGGTGATCTGCTTTTTCTCAATAGCAATACATTGGGAAGATACTCCTCTGTCAGTATTTAGTCTTCCATAAAATAATTCTTAATGACTGTATAAGTCACCCATAACCTATATTGGCCATACTTTATTTAGCTGTCCCCAGTCATTGGAGACATAATTTGTATTGTTTCTAATTATGCCTGTTATAAATAATACTAGGATAAACATGCATCTTTATGTACATCTATAATTGTTTCCTGATATATATTCCACGTAGTAAGACTTTTAAGCAAGAAGATATATATGTTTCCCCTAATATTTTATCACGAAAACTTACAAACATACTGAGAAATGGAAAGAATTGTGGAGAGAGGCTCATATATCCACCGCCTAGATTTTACAGTTGTTAAATCCATTAAGCTAATATAGCAAAATGTTATCTTATAAGTTTAGTGGATTTATCCATCCATCTTATTTTGGGGGGATTCTGCACATTTTTTAATGTTTTGGATACATATTGCCAAATTGCTTCCAGAATGTTGGTATCAGTTATGTCTATTTCCTCACTCTCCATCTGTCAATGTATGTTATTTGTTTTAATAGCTGCTAATCTAATAAATGAAAAAATTGTATCTTGTTTTCAAAATTTGCATTTATTTGATCAGTAGGGAGGAATAAACCTCTATTTAATGCTCATTTGAATTTCTCCTGAAAAGTTCTATATTATGCCTATTGACTATTTTCTGTTAAGGTATTTATCGCTCTCTTATTGATTTCTAAAAGCCCCTTATATTAAATATACTAGCCCCTTTATCAAATATGTTGCCTATTTGTGGCTTCCTATTTAATTTTGTTTATAGTGTTTTCTGATAAACAGAACGTTTTTAATTTCTAGTATCATTTGCTGGGCATGTATCATATGCCAGGCGCTGTACTAGGAGCTAAGCCTTGAGGCTCTGTCCTCAAGGAACTCACAGTCAGGGAGGGAGGCGCAGACAACTCGCCGTAACATGATAAGGAAAACATCATGATGTGGTTGTAGTGATACAGAAGAGAGTTCCAAAGTAAGAATTGCCATGGGAATTTGTGTTTTGTGTGGGGGAGAGTCAGAGGTTTACACAGAGCAGGAGACTTTCCAGCTGGGGCTGGAAAATGAGGACATTTGTCAGGCAGAACGAGGACCAGCAGAGGAAAGTTGAGGAAGTGGGGAGTCTTGCTGAGCCTGGGAGCTTCTTCTCTGAGGGGCAACCCTGCCCCCAAGACCCCTCACAGCCTGCTTCCCTGGCATCAAAGTCACCAGGGTCTGAGGTTTTCAGGCTGTGACGTGAAGGCCCACGGGGGGTCTGGGGCTGTTAGCGAAGTGGGTGGGGAAGTTGGACCATGGCCCTGCCCCCCTTCTTGAAAGTTATAGTTTTGATTAGTTTGGGCTCTTGGTTAGATTTAAGCCAGAGAAAGGGTTCCACTTAAAAAAAAAAAAAATTTTTTTTAAACCACAAGTATGGAGATCAGAAGAAAAAATGATTAAAATGTTTTTATGCTTAGGGGAGAGGATTCCCAGGACCCCCTTGCCCTCCCATTGTCTCCTTAAGTGATCTGATTGGGCCATAGGTCCCCCAGGCACTTGAGGCTCTAAGAAAAGAGCTCAGGCCATAGGATCAGAGAATATTCAAACTACAGGAATCTTAGAGGTCCTAGGCTCCAACACCCCATTCTAGAGGGGCCCAGAGGTGTGATGTGCTTTAGCTAAGGCCCTGCATCTCGCTAATGCAAAGTGGATGCAGAGCTCTCCATAATTCCATGCAGAAAAAAAGGCTTCCCTGGTCTCACAACCACGACCAGCCCAAGGACAGTGGGGTTGGAGCAGAGGCTGGGGCCCTGAAGGTGAACCTTATGTTTCAACGTTGCCTATTCTGGCTGAAGTACAAGAAGAAGGGGACCCAAGAGAGGAAATGGCCCTGGTCTGCAGAGAGATTGGGTAGTGGATGGTGTTAAACATTTTGTCTTCTTGCAGGTCCACTATTCTCCCCAGAACTTCACGGACAACATCAGGAAGGCTCTGGACATCCTCCATGCTGAGGTGTGGAAGCTGGTCTGCGTGGCCTCTGTGCAGTTCAACCGCGTCCTTCTTGGGCCTCAGGCTTGGCCCAGAGGCAGCTCTGGCTTCCTTCCTGCCTTTCCCTGGAGGCCAGTGCTGACGATGCTCTTGTCCTAAACACAGTGTCAATGGGGGGAGGTGGGGCAGGAGGGATAAGGAAGTGGACGGGGCCACATTAAAGACCACGGACCCAGCTGGCCCCAGACCCAGATGAGAGACTGGATCCCCTGGCCTTGGTCCTCTTAGGGACTGGTCTTGCCTTCCCTCAGGTTCCTCGGGCATTTGTGAACCTGGTAAATGTTCTGGAGATCATCAACCTGAGGGAGCTGTATCAGGAGAAGAAAGTCAGCTGCCCAAGGCTGATCCTTAGGTGAGAAGGAAGCTTCCCCAACCACCCACCCACCCACTCCCTGGCCCCGTTCCCTGTAGCGCCATGAGACCCTTAGCAGAAAGTAATCTCAATTACTTAGAAAGCCCAAGGGCAGATGTGTGAGAAGTGTTAAGACCACCCCATTTTCCAACCCGACAAGGCCTAACGGGTTTTTGTGACTGAGCGTAGGCCTCATCTACCCTCCAAGTATGTGCTTACAACCCAGCCGTGCTCCTGTTGTCATGGTGGCTCAGGACACCCTTCAGTTCTCAGGGGAGGGAAGAGTAAAGTGTGAGGAACGGAGTGGTCCTGCGTGGCCACGAGCGTGGCCCATGGCCAGGCTCACGGGCCACCACCAAGTGTATCCAGAGCTTCCCCATCCCTACAGGCCCATCTCCAGGACACAGGGAGCCTCTGTTTGGCATGGGTGCTCCTGGATGGGCACTCACAAATATAGGGCTCTTGTCACTTAAAGGAGAGGGGGGACAAATTATAATCAGGATCTAGAGGACAGTCTTCCCAGAGCATACAGCGCCCTGGTCCTGGGAAAGTCCCTGAGAAGCCTTCTTTATTCTCAGTCTCCAGAGCCAAACAAAGGTAGTTCCCTCTCTGATATTACACATCTCCATGACCTTCAGGGTTAAGATACCCTTCTAACCCGAGCATGAACATTTCTCACAGCATTGCTTCCTGTAAGGCCCTCTCTGGACCATTAGCCCAGGCCACGGTGGTGGCTGTGCCTCAGCCCAGCTTCCTCCCTAGCTCTGTAGCTCTTCCCAGGCCCCCACCACAGCCCTGGGCACACCACGTGCTGATTATTCATGTGCCTCTCCTCCAACAGCCCTGACCTCTGTCTGAGTCACTGCTAGCACAGTGTAGGGGCTCTGTGGCTGTTTGCTGAATGAGTGAATGAATAATTCACAAGGGCCAGGTTTGCTCTTGGAAATGAAGGGGTACCTTGGCCGCCACCTTGAAAATCCATGCCAGACCGCACCTGGGGGCCCAGATTGCACAGGTCTCCCGGGGAAGGCCTGAGGACACCGTGAGCAGGAGGATGGCTGCTGGATGACACAGGCCTATTAATGCAGCTGGTGTCAGGCATGCTATTTTCAGCTGCTGACTCATTCTCTGGCTCCCACTTTCTCCAGTCACTGGGCCACACGGGGGATTCAGTGTATTCATTTCAGAGCAGCTTACCCCCAAATCTCTTGCTACCAATCACTGCGGGGTTTTTAGACAATTAAAGCTAAAGGTTCGGAGTAGGCATTTGCCAGGTCTGTTCTCAGCTCTGAAATGGCCAAGTCACCGACAGGTTAGGCAGACTGGGGGTCACCTTGGTCTGCCGCCTCTCTGCTGTCCTGTCTCAGTGGTTGAGCCTTCCTCGGAGGGCCATCTACTCTAAGCCATCTACTATTATAATCTACTCTAAGCCATCTGTACTATTATACCCTCACCCCCTTAGACCAAAAGCCTGGATATGCAAGGTGGCCAATCACAGCAGAGATACAGACTGGACAGAAGCAGTTTAACCAGGGATCACACCAGACGTTCTTGAGTTCAAGTCCTAGCTCCCACACTTAGTCTCCTTGTGACCTTGAGAAAGTACTCAACCACACTGAGCCTCAGTTTTCTCATCTATACAGTGAGGATAATGATAATCCAACCTCTTGAATAGCTGAGAGGATTAAATGCGTTCATACTCATAAAGCTCTTGGCACAGTAAACACTAATATGCATTAGCCCCTCTTATTGTTGTCATTTTTATTATTTAAAAGTAGGTGTGCCTTATCTGTGCCGTCTGTCTTCAGACAGTCATAAGGTAACTCCGCTCTGTAAGTCCCTCCTGCAGATGTTAGAAGTAACTATTTCACTTTAAGGAGAAAATCCAGGTCTGTTGAATTTTCTTCGGCTTCCTCTGGTACCTCCAAATTAAATAGGTTCTGAATCTCAAGCCAGGGTCATGCATTCAGATGGTGATTTTGATGGGGTGGGGCCTCTCCTTGGTTTGGTCTACAGGAATCTGTGCTCCTGTGTCCTGAAGTTTGATGATAACTCACCAGAACTTGCCTCCCTCATCGAAGTCAATAAGAAATACCAGGTAAGCCAGGAAAGGTTCTAAGACTGCCCAAGATGTTGTCTGATTGCTCTGGTTAGAAAATGAGCACATGCTTACGTTATCTTGACCCCAGCTGTCCAGTGTGAGGTTACCACTGACCAGTTTGCAGATTTAAAGACACTCTGAGAGGCAGCAGGGACTGTAATTCAGTTTATTTGAATCAAGCTGTAAACAACGAAGTCACTGAACATATTTCACCAAATCTCAGTGCCTGGCCTTGCACACACACAAATATATTTCCATTTGTCCTTGAGAAATGTTTATGAGCTTCCGACTCCTGGCTGGGAAACCCTTTCTGTCTAAGAGAGTCTAGAGGATTCAGTGAGATCACTTGCATTTCCTCTGTCCTCCTCTTCCAGAGAAACAGGTGTTATTGGGGAGCACAGGGAGAAAGAAAGTCAGCAGGTGATCTCCAAACATCCTGTGGGTTCTTCATTTGGGGACTTTTTCCATCCAATCTTTGAACAGAGCAAATGGATCCCTTGCCTATGTTGAGTTTCCCCCAAACAATCATCCAGTCACTCAAGAGGGCAATGGTAGCCTTCTAGCTGCTTAGGGTAGGCTGCAAACAGCTTCCAGGGTGGTTCCATCCTTCAAACCCATGGACTCCTTGGAGTAGAACCACTTCCCTGCTTTGAGGCAGCCATGCCTGCCAGGGGTATCAGGGCTCAGGGGAATGAACTTCTATCTATCACCCTCTGGGTGACTCCCCAGCTGCACCTCCTTCTGCTGTGGGCAGGCACCTCTTCCCCTGGTGAGGAAGTCCATGGCCGGCAGCAGGCGGGGGAAAGGCAGCCAAGGTTATGGCCATGAAAGCAAAGCTGCTCCAGATGGAACAGGTTCTTGGGTGCAAGCAACAAAAACCTCTGCACTGCTGGTTAATTTAGGCAGATGTGTTATACAAGCAGAGTGTCTGAAAGAGTTAAAAAGTGAGGCTCAGAGGCTGTGCCATGAGAAATCACAGAATCGTGAAATTCTAGGGTCCAAGCCATAAGGATCAAAATCAGGCCAAAGAACTAGTTCAGTGGAAACATTGTGGACACAGCTGTCACTGCTGCTTTTAGGAACTGAATGCAGCTGCCACCCTTAGCAGAAAGGATTTTGTGCTGTTCGTCTTTCTATCACCAGCTCTGGAGGGCCCTGGGGCCTGTGCCTAAGCCCTAGTGTGAGGGTCATTGGGAAAGCCAGCATTCATCTTTCTCCCCTTCTACAGTGGGAGGCAGGTTGCTCTTAGTATAGTGGAGTTTTTCCAAACATAGAAAGTGGATTCAGATGCTGGTGGTCAGCGGGAAGGGAAGGGAAGGGAAGGGAAGGGAAGGGAAGGGAAGGGAAGGGAATCTATTCACCAAAATTGCCTTCACCAACCTCTCTAGACAGGCCTGCCATTTCCAGGTCTGATCTCGGTTACCAATGAGATCCTGGAGGAGCTCGCAGGTCAGCCACAGCAGGCCATCAAGCCCACTCTCAGAATCTTCTCACTCACTACTTTCTGCAAAAGCTATGGTTCCCGTAACTCGCCATGGAGGTGATCGTTGCATTAAAAACCACCACGAGCCAGGCATTCTAGACACTCTTTCATTTCTCAAGGGATGCACAGTTCCACTGTGTGCCATTGTGTCTCATCCACAGGGTAATCGGTAGCATCAGAAGGGATCTAAGGGATGGTCCAGGCCTTGCCAAACACCCTCCATTTACAGATGAGGAAAGAGAGGTCCAGAGAGGGGGAGAGCATCTTGCTGAAAGTCACACAGCTACTTAGTAGTATTGCACTCTCTTTCTGGCTGCCCCCAGGAAAAGGAAGTACATGGTCCTTCTGAAATGCCCCCACTAAGGTTCCTGACTTCCCTCTCCAGCCAGGGTCCTGGCCCCATCTGCTAGAAATCTGGCAAGCAGTGAAATGGCAGAGGCTGGCAGAATTTGGAGCCAGAATTGGGCTAGTTGGTTCTCCTGGAACCAAGCTCAAGTGGGAGCTATGAGAGTAACAGCCCTGTTACCCTCCTGGACAGATCTGAGACTTTCAAAGAAGTGTACATGCACAGGACCATTCATGCTCGCTCGCTCTCTCTCTCTCTCTCTCTCTCTCTCTCTCTCTCACACACACACACACACACACACACACACACACACACACACCATGCACGAATGATAGAAATGGGCAGTAAGTGCCATTGCTGACTCACCTTGGATTTTCTAAACAAATGTAGGGCAGAAATAAGTTAAATGTAAGGATTATCCCAAAAAGTCATTTGATCAAATCAATACCCTATCCCCTCCCCAACGTCCCCTGGCCAGTCTTTAATCAGAAGCTTTAAAAGGAGATCCAGCTGATGGTCTCGGGTTTTTCCTTATCTTTCCTTTTGTTTTTGGTTTTGGTTTTGGTTTTTTCCCACAGCCTCGGTCAAATATACGCAATGGCAGCTGGGGTTGGGGGCAGGGTCTGAGATAAAGGCTGATCTAAAAAGTAACTAGTTGGTTCCGGATAGGTTGAGATTTTGCTACAGATTGATTTCACTCCAGGGTCAGACTCTGTTTAAACTCTATGGCAGAGAAAGAGATTGCACAAGGCCCGGTGCAAAGAGGCCCCTGACCCTTGCCCCGTTTGCCTCCTGCAGGAGGGGACTCACCAGCTGGTTGAAAATGGGCGATACGACACAAGGGAGGACTTCACGGTGGTCGTGCAGCCATTTTTTGAAAAAGTGGACATGCCAAAGACCTCGGTAACGAAAGCAACGATCATGGGTAAAGGGGAGCCACGCAGTGTCCAGTTTGTAGTGTCATTTCTGTATCCGACGTCCCTATAACGTGCCCCCCCCCCCTTTTCTGCCCTGTGACCAGGCGGGGCTGCCCGACAGCTCTTTCTTCGCTCCTGACTGTTTCCACTTCAGCAGGAAAGCTCACGCTCACGCGGCCAGCGCCCTCTGGAACAACATGGTAAGACGACTGAGGTCGGGAAAATTATTCTCCCTCTGGGAGGAGAAAGACTCTGGCAAGCTCTTGAAGGAGTTCAGAGGCCCATCACTCAGGCTGTGTGATCTCCCACACCGCAGTGATGACAAACCACATTCCCCACACCCCTCCCTCCCTTCCCCAGCCCCGACCTGCCTCCTGGCCTTCCCATTCTTGCCACCTCTTTTCTGCTTCTTGCCTTAGCTGGAACCTGTTGGCCAGAAGACAACGCAGCATAATTTTGAACACAAGATCAATATCACATGTCCGACCCAGGTAGAGTGGGAAGTTCATCCTTGCAACAGGTCTATTTATCTGAAGCATCTTTTCCAGGCTTTTGACACCTCTGTGAGGTTTCTCAGTTCATTTCACCCCCAGATCCTACCCCTACCCCGGACTCAGTGAACCATCCACAGAGCCCTATCTGGTTGGACCATGAGGGGTGACAGCCCCCAGTGGCCAGAGGCCCCTAGGGTGCTCCTTTGTCCACATCCCAGGGAACCCTAGCACAAGTCTGGGCTGCACACAGTTCTCTCCAGCTGGGAAGAGGAATGTGACAGCACCACCCAGCTCTCATTTTGGAGACTGAGGGCGGTAGCAATCCTCAAGGACAAGGATGGGACAATAGGATGCCCTGTGTCCGTGTAGCCGCTGCCTCCATGGCGGGATAGAAAGAACAAGGAACTGAGACCCGGAATAACATCTGCTAGGACAAGGGTTGGGGATGGGGCTGGTCAACTGGAAGCCAGAGCAAAGAAAGCAGCCCCCTATGCTCACTCACCAGTTTTCAGGAAGATTCTTGGATCTCTGTAGCTGTTCCCTCACCTCTACGCTTGTCTCTGTATTCCCAGAGGGGTCCCTAGACTGAGCTGAGGCTGATGTGGGGCAGGACCTCAAAGCACCTGTCTTTTCTTGCCTAGGCAGAGTGGGAGTGGCATGGGGGTGGCAAGGGGCCTACGGAGGCGCTGTTGGGAAGGGCAGGGTCAAAAGGAGGGGTGATACAGCTGCCCCAGCCAGCTGTGTGGGAACCTGAGAGCAGACTTGCTCCTCTGGAGCCACTACAGGGTTCATTCTAATTGTTGCTACAAGTTCAGGTTGCAGAGAAGGCCCAGTGCATCCTGGGAGGGAGCCTGCAATGGTCGGCCTGGCAGGGAGGGGCTGGGAATGTGGGGAAGGGGAGGCCCAAAGTGTTGTGTGGAAAGCAAGCAGAATTTGCTGGAATTGCTCACCGCCCTCTTCTCACAGTTCTGGCCGTTTCTGAGAACCTACAAGAACAGCGTGCAGGTACGGGCTTGTTTCTCCCCTTTCTCCACAGCGGGCAGCCCCTGGGCTAGGGCTGGCCCAACAAGGTGGGGTGGGAACGCTGGCAAGGGTCCTGATGGGCAGCTGAGGGGAATGAACGCTTCTGTGTGAGATCCGCCACCTGCGCCTTCGGACAGGGTGGCAGGCAGAACAGGCCGCACTGGTAACAGCCCAGGTGGAGGCCAGCCAGTCAAATCACAGCCTCATCAAAGACATAAGTGAAGATCGCGTTCCTCTTCATAAAACTGCCACAGACACAGAGGTGGAGGGGGGCGGGGCGAGACCGTTGCGTTGATGCTCTGATCTTGCCTTGGATGGTGCGGGTTCTGAACTAGGTTAGCGGATCCCAGCCTGCGGTCACCTAGGGGGCCTTCTTCAGTGCCCCTCCAGGTCCCTCCCACCCCCCGGGTGGGACCCAGGAACCTGTGTTTGGTAAAGCTCTCTGGGTCAGTGTGACACCTAGCCAGCATCTCGGGTCCCTTCCAACCCGGGATTCCAGGATTCGTTCTGTGCCCGTAGGGTCATGGGAGCCAGCTGCTGTGCAGGGACAGAGCTCCTTCCACCTCACCGCCCACCTCAGGTAAGTTCCTCATGAGACACCAGGACCCTTGGGCCCCTCCACGAGGACTCAGGGGCCAATAAGTGCTCTGGCAAGACTTGGCATATGTAACTAAATGATGCAGGGCTAGTGCCTGCTTCCTGTCTGGGTGGTTGCCTGGGATATGCCCCTGCCTTGTCCCCCTCTGCCCTGCAGCCATGTCATTAGCCAGCAGGACCCGTGGTGGCCAGGCCAGGAACCGTTTGCTGCCTTCTCGTTCAGCCTCCTGAGGGAGCCCACGTCGGGGAGCCACATGAGTTCTCCCTCCCCCAGTGGTGTGACCGCACTGAGGCCCAGAGGTGGGGGTGGGGTACCCGGGGAGTCCCAAGAGTGAGCCAGCTCTGCAGGGTGTCCTGTGGTCCCAGACTCGGCAACTTTTCTAGCCCTACTTTCTAGTAGAGAGATTTGGGACAGGGAAAGGCCTGACATGATTATTTCTCAGATTTTGGGTGAAAACCCAGAGCCCAGCTCTAAATGGGCTGAGCACCAGACTCTGTACCATATCTCACATGGTCTGGTGCCCATGCGGTCCTGTGCTCAGGTCACTGCTGGCCTCCCACACGACCACTGGCACTGAAGCGGTTGATTCTACTCTGCCCTCTCTACCATCTGTCCGTCCATCTGTCCATCCATCCATCCATTCCCTCTCCTTCTCCCTCAGCACCTCTCTCCCCATAGGTCCAGGACTTATCGTTGGGTCTCTTTATGGGAAAATTCCTCATATAACCTCTGTCAGCCTCCATGGCCCAAACACACATGCGGGTCATGTTTCTGGTCTTGCTTAAAGCAGGCAGCCGTAGGCTCCGACTACAGGTTCCTTCCCACGGACTCAAGTGTGTCCACTTGTCTTTGCAGTGCACACCCTGAGACCGGCAGATATCCAAGTTGTGGCTGCGCTGGGGGATTCTCTGACCGTAAGGACTCTTGGGCCCCAGTTGGGGTACGGTGGGGCTGTGCCAGTTCCAGGGCCTGCACCCCGGCCTCTGTGTTGCCCTGCACCCCTGTCCTGGCTCTGTCGATCTGAGAGCATGGCAGTGGTTTGATTTTGCAGCCACTTTCTCAAGCAGGTGTGCAAGAGGAAATCTTTCTTGGGGGTCAGCTGAGTTGTTTCAAATAGTGGAGGTTTTGAACGCCTAACGACACTTTTTTTTTTTCTAATGATTACAAAAATAGGTCGTTTCAACTCAAAACAATCTTCTAAACCTACCTGTGGGGGTGCTCCTTTCCCTTTGGATTGTGCTTTGGATTGACTCGGCCCCTCTTTCCATCTTCATGGAAAGCATCAGAGTCCACAATTGTGGCTAAAGCCCTGTTCCTAAGTTCCAAGAAACAGGGCCCTTACCTCCCCAGATGACCGATTGCCTTACAGAATGTCCCAGAGGGAAAGAGGAGACACGTGCAGTTTATGAGGAATCTGTCCCCTGCCATCAACTCCAATCTATAGGCTCTTTCTTCACGCTTATCAAAGAATTTAGGAGCATAATGCTGGTGGTAATGATACGGCAGCGTCTCAGATGTGCGAAGCACTGGGGAGTTTTCAAAGCTGCTTTTACAGCTATGATCCAATTTGGTCATCAAAATAATCCTAGGAGATCAGCAGGTCATGTCCTCAGTTCAGTAAGGAGACAGCTGAGATTCAGGGAAGGCAGATAGCTGGAAAGGAGGTGGCAGAAGGCAAGCCTGGTCTCTGACTCCCGGTCCAGGGTCTGTTCGTGCCACGCGATGTGTGTATTGGGAACCGCCTGTGTCCTCTGACTTACTCATTTTCCTACGTATTTTGGTATATATTCAAAGGCCGGCAATGGAATTGGCTCCAAACCAGATGACCTTTCTGACGTCACCACTCAGTATCGGGGGCTGTCATATAGGTAATGTTAAACCTGTACCCCCTCCCTCCCCAAGTTCACTCTCAGAACCTAGACGAGGGGTTGTCTCTTTTTAAACACATAAATACCAAAGAGGAAAGGACCAGGTCTGGAAGGGGCTTTCAGAAGGAAAACCTGTATATTTCTGCAAAGTGTGATCATACGGTGAATGGAGAAGATATTTTATTGATAACTTTTTTGCAGAAAAAGAAAACCAGGGTTCTTGTCAGACTCCTGGGTCAGCAAATCCGACATGAAATGCACCTGAAAAGCACCAAACTTTTGAGTTTTCACCTGCCTGTTTGTGTGTGTGTGTGCACGTGGAGATCTCCATCTGGTTACTGTCTCTGTGCATTTATCCATGTCATTCTGCACTCACACCTCTGCCTTTACATGGATGTACACATCTGTCCAGAAAACTCTGAAATGCACTACACCACTTTGAGAGGAGATGACCAAGAGAGAGTCATAGCCCCTGAGCCCTTCCTGTGTGCCTGCAAGATACCAGGCACTGAGGCGGGTGGGCGGTGGGCGAGGGGACGTACAGGGAACACAGACAAATGCCCGTGCTCAATTGGCAAGTGCTATTCAAAAATGAAAGATGCCCGCCCGCGGGCTACAGGAAGAGAGAAGAGGGAATAATCAACCCTGCCAGGGGAGAGGGAGGCTTTGCAGAGAAGGTGGGAATGGACAGATTAGCAATTAGATGAGAAAGGGCATTCCAGACGGGGAGCAGAAAAGCTCGCGGTGCGTCAGGGGAGTGGGCGGATGTGGGTGGGTTTTCTTAAGTTTCTTTCGGTTCCCCATGAAGTTCACGTTTGTGGATGCTTCACAGTAACAGGCAATTAGCTCAGAATTCAAAACAACTAGAACAAGGCCAGCCAGGAGAGGGCAGAGTGCTAAGGAGAAGTTTTGCAGCCAGACCACACGCTCGCCTCCTCCCTTTTCTGCCCAGTGAATTCAAATGGAGCGTTTCTTTCTGGAAAGGGAGAGGGAGCCGTGTGGGGATGACCGAGACTGTGGCAGTTCTCCCGCCAACTCGGAGGACAGCCCCAGAGGGGAAGGATTTCCTTGCGTGGGTAGCAAGAGGACACCATCCACTGAAATAAATGCCTCCCAGCTCCTGGGGGACCCCCAGGTTGCCCCAGCCCCTCAGCGGGGTAGAGGGGCTCCAACTCTGAACCAAACCAAGCCTCGCCGTCTGACCACCGTGCCCCAAATGTTACTGAGTCTGTGTGAGAAAGGAAAGCCAGAGCGGAAGAAAGCAAGCAGGGTTTATGACATACAATCGAGAGACAGCGTGAGCGACAGCTGCACTCAGTCTTAGCTGGAGAAGGGTCACAGCGTGGGGAACAGAAAAAAAGGTAGACAAACCGGTCAACGGGGGGTTGGAGCCACACCTGGTGGGGCAGTCTGGGGAAGCCGGTGGTGTGCCCCCCCCCCCCCACCACTGACAGTCCAACTGGACAGATTCCTGGGCTTTGGATACAAACAGGCAATCTTCTGCTAGATGTTTCTCTGTAGCAAGGGGAAAAGTCAGCCATTGCTTTATTTCTCCCTGCAGGGGAGGCCAGGTGTGGCTTACCGTTTCAATTTTCTGTATTCAAGTGGCTCTTGTGCCTTTAAACCCTTTATTCTAAATGCTTCAAATACCCGGGCCACCATCCACAAGTGTTACTGATGAAAACTCTGGGTCAGAGCCTGAGATAGTTTGACACTTTGGTAATATATACAGTGTTTCCCAAAGAGTGTTCCATGGAACACTAGCCTCCTACATTTTCCTGACAAGGGCAACGTTCTTTGTATTGGGCAGGGAACATTACCTACCCTATCCTTCCTCTGGAGAACTCACATGTATATTAGCATATTAAAGGCTCTGAGAAGCTCTGCAATGAAGACATTTGTTTAAATTGTATCTGTTTAATCCAGTGTTTCTCTTCATCCCAGAAACCTTTCTTTATTCACAGTACTGATTAGCGTGCACGCGTGCCGTGTGTGTGTGTGTGTGTGTGTGTGTGCATGCCCCCTCCCCCACCCCAGGAAATGTCCATGTAGTAGACTGACCTGAGAAAAGCAATTTTCTGAAGCCATTAAAGCTTCTGGATTGGAAGCAATAGGCAATGAATGATTCCAGGTGAATTAAGGCTCTAATTTTAGCCTCTGCCTCCAAGGAGACAGCAAGTGGAGAGAGGGGGCCACATACATTTGGAGAGGGACCATGACCCAGAATTCTTGGGAGATGGGTTGCTGTGAGCAGGACATGCAGGAGGAGGCTTAGCTGTGACTATTTCCAAGGCCTCTTGATCTGTGAGAACCATACAGCAGTGACAGGTGCCAGCTTTAGCTAGCTTAACTATGTGGCAGGCCCAGAGGTTCTTTCGAGCATTGCTCTTTCTTCAGTTGAAATAAGTTTGCTTCTTCAGGGCCACCTGAGTGGCTCAGTCAGTTGAGCTTCTTAATCTTAACTCTTGATCTTGGCTCAGGTCTTGATCTCAGGGTTGTGAGTTCAAGCCCTGTGCTGGGCTCCATGCTGGGCATGAAGCCTACGTACAAAAAATAAAATAAAATATGGGGCGCCTGGGTGGCGCAGTCGGTTAAGCGTCCGACTTCAGCCAGGTCACGATCTCGCGGTCCGTGAGTTCGAGCCCCACGTCAGGCTCTGGGCTGATGGCTCGGAGCCTGGAGCCTGTTTCCGATTCTGTGTCTCCCTCTCTCTCTGCCCCTCCCCCCTTCATGCTCTGTCTCTCTCTGTCCCCAAAAAAAAAAAAAAAAAAACAAACGTTGAAAAAAAAAATAAAATAAAATAAAGAAGTTTGCTTATTTGGCATCAGAAGACCAAAATAAAATTTACTCACCAAAAAACAACAAAAAAACAAAAAGCTTTTTCTTTTCATTATTAATTAGGAGTTCAATCTTACTGAAACTCCTTCCACAAATGTCATTGAGCATCTACTCTGTAATTCTCTGTGCACTGTGGGTGATGACAGATGAACAAAACCCAGCCTTTGAACTCATGGTTTAATATAAATTACATTAATTGGAAGGATCTCCTATGAAGGAGCTCTTTCATACAGGTCTATTTTCTTTCATGTGTCACATAGTTCTGATCAATGAGGGCTTAAATATTTTTGTTCCTCTATACGTATCTGTGTGATTCTCTTTTCTCCTGGAAGTGTTCACCCAGAGATTTCTGTAGCCTCTTGGTGTTGATTAGCTATGGCATTTGTTTTAGAACAAAGATACTTTTAGACAAGAAATTACAATAAAAAGTACTTGCTGTCTGTGTTTAGGTATATCTCTAGGCTTGTGTTTATACAGTTATTTATTTTTTATTTTTTAATGTTTATTTTTGAGAGAGAGAGAGAGAGTGTGTGTGTGTATGTATCCGAAGCAGTCTCCATGCTCTGAGCTGTCAGCACAGAGCCAGATGAGGGGCCCAAACTCACAAACGGCAAGATCATGACCTGAGCCGAAGTCAGGCACCTAACTGACTGAGCCACCCAGGCGCTCCTATATGTTTATGGAAGAAGAAAAGGAGGCAGAATTAGAACGCAGTGATTGGAGGAGGTACATGGATTTCTAATTCCCTCTCAAATGTAAAGTATTTTGACTAAGTGCTTTTAGTCCAAAGAAAGAAGGATCAGGAAGCAGCTAAAGCAGTTGACTTCATGCAGAGTTGGAAAAGAATTAGAAGCTCAAACAAATTTCTGATCATTGGCCAAGCTAGGTTCAGACATGGGTGAGAGTCAGGAGAGAGATACCTGGGTAAGGTAGAAGGGCAGGGCTCACGGGGCTTCTTCCTCTCTACCACCTGCGGCTGCTGAGCCTCTGACTTGACCACCCTCGCAGGAAATAGTCTTCTTCATTCCAAGCATTTCCTTGGGTGAAGAACCACCGTGACTTTGATTCATGGCCTGTCCTTTGGAAGTCTATACTGGTGGGCTGGTTGCTGATGCTGTGTTCTCAAAATCTATTGGGCTAGAATAATACGCTGGCATTGAGCAGGGGAGGGGAAAAAAAGAAGAAGAAGAAAACACAGTAAATACAGTACATCTGAACATTGGACTTTGTTAAAATAGAAATACTTGTCTCCCGGCCTCCCACATGTATTCAATTTAAATGCATGAAAGGAAATGCAATTTTGAGTGTGTCTTGAGGTTAGATTGAGCACCATGGAACTAGATTCAAGTAGATGAAATCAGATTGGATTTTGGAAGGCGATGAGAGGCCATCGCCCGAACCTCCCAAACCTCCCAGTGAAATTTACCTCACCACTGGGCAGGGAAGACCTAATGCGTTTTCCAAAGGTCTACAGCTCAAGCTGGTTTTTGGGTTTTTGGTTTTGTTTTTAATTTTTGTTAATGTTTGTTTATTTTTGAGACTGAGCGGGGGGAGGGGCAGAGAGAGAGAGAGGGAGACACAGAACCTCAAGCAGGCTCCAATCTCGGAGCTGTCAGCATAGAGCCCAACACAGGGCTTGAACTCACGGACCGTGAGCTGAAGTTGGACACTTAACCGCCTGAGCCACCCAGACGCCCCTCAAGCTGGTATTTAGTGACCTTTCAAAAGTTAATTCACCCCTGTGCACCTCAGCTTCCTCCTCTGTAAAATGGGGAGAGTCACATCTATAGCATAAGTTTGCTGGGAGGCAGTAGGTAACTAGTGTAGAGAATCTAGTTCATGCTGGGCTGGGCACATAGCATATACTCAGCTAAGCACGTTCCTTCCTAAATTGGTGCAAAAACAGAAAGAGTTCTTTCTTGTCTTTAAATCCTAGATTTGAGGGATCTGGGGAAATTCAAATTTTCTCAGACTTTCTCCACATGAGGAGGTTGCTAGGCCTGGCACATCTTGCAGATGCTGATGGCGTGGGCGCTAAGAAAGGTGGGGTGCTCTTTCATAAAGTCTAAGTATTGATTCAGTCTCTCTCCCTGGTTTGCTCACTCCCTACAGTTCGGGAGGGGATGGCTCCCTTGAGACCGTGACCACCTTACCAAGTAAGTACCCACCAGGGTCTCGAGTCTGTTCACTGGTTCCCCCTGACCCCTGGGCTTCCTGAGTGCCCCTCAGCTAAGAAAGAGGATGTAACATCATCTTTGCGGGCTGCCACCGAATGGGAGGAGAGGCCCATGGACAGGTAGTTGAGGGGGTGGAATAAGCACTGATTTGGAGCCCTGACGCCTGGGTTCAAGCCCTGGCTCTTCTCTGTGCTCGCCCAGGGCAAGGTGGCCTAGGCCAAGTCACCAAAGCTTCTGAGGCTCAGGCTTTTTCAACTTGTCCAGAGGGAACAGAGACAATCCAATGAGGTAGTGAGTAGTCCCTGCACCGTGAACTGTGAAAGGAAGAGAAAGAAAGGGAGGAGGGAGGGAGAGAGGGCAGAAGCAAGAAAGGGAGACAGAGAGAGAAGGAAAGAAAAGAAAGGAAACGGAAAGAGAAAAGAAAACCTGAGAGGCTCTTGCTGTTTTGGTCTACCAGGTCATTTCCACTCAGCCCCAGTCCCTGCCAGGCACACCCTCTGCCTCCCTGCCTCCCCTCACTGCCTGGAGATGGTCCCGAAGCCCACTCTGGGGAGCCTGGACCAGACAGAGTGGACTTTCTGGCCTTCCTCTTAAAGTCTCCATGTCCCGTTCACCCCCTTCTCTCCCAGATATCCTTCGGAAGTTTAACAGAAATCTCAGAGGCTACGCGGTGGGCACGGGTGACGCCAATGGCACAAATGCCTTCCTTAATCAGGCTGTTCCTGGAGCAAAGGCTGGGTATGGCGTTCGGGGAGGAGGGCCTGCGGGGTAGAAAGTGGGAGGCACGTGGTCGCTCGCCTTTGAGACTGTAATGCTGGCCTCCACGTGCAAAGGGGACACTCATCCGTTTGCAGCGATGATTTGAGAGGCCTTCAGCCACTCTCTTCCCTGGCTGCCCCTGTGACTAAGGCCACAGCGGGGAGGCTCGAGAGGCTGAAGCTGGGACAGGAGCCACGTCCCTGGAGGCTGAACTCCTGACCTTGCTTCATGGGGTGACGTGTTCTAATCGTGCAACGAACCGACTAACCTTATCCCAGTTTTAAAACTCACTGTGACACAACGGTGCCAGCGAGCTTCACTCTCCCCAAAGCCTCACAAGTGGCAGTTCCCCGAAAGCATCAAGGAGTGCCAGCAAATGAACAGACAAGCCAGAATCTCCAGCCTTGGAGGCTTCTGGGGCCACATGTCATGGCCTATCCCTAGTCCTGCTATGGAGCTAATAGGAAATGCAATTGAGAAGCCAGAGGCAGCTAAAGTGGAATGCTCAGCACCCCCCTCCCCCAGGATGATCTCAGGAGGCCCCTCACCCTGCTCCTGGTGGCCCCAGCTGCCCGGGTTTCCCTGCTCCTGACCCAGCCATCTGAGCCTCCATCACACTGTCACCTTCCTGCTCAGGCCCACGCCCTTCTAGCTGATGGGCACATCTTTCCAACCTGCTCACTCAGCCGAGGAAGACCTTTCTGGGCGGCAGAAACATCTGGGGACAGAGGGACCCACCAGCAGGTCCCAGGGGATCATCATGCTGTGGCTCCATGTCACCCACACCTATAACAGGGGCCTGAACCAGTGGGGCGCTTGGGGTGCTTGAGATCTAGTCTTTCCACGAATTATCTATCAACCCAGGCACGTGCGCAGTATATGTTTATTCCCCACCCCATTCTAAAAGAAGCATCTTACTAAGTTTACCAAAAACATACGAACAAGTAACATGTACATTAGAAAAATCACAGCCACTGGTGGTGGGAAGATGGGGAAGAAGCAGCTGTGTCAATCTGAGCCTTTTTACAGTTATCATGCCTGAGCATCAAACTCTCAGCTTCCTAGCAGCCAGAGTAAAAAGAGAAAGCATGTTAAAACGTTTATAGATCTGGTTTCAGGATCTATACTGGTCCTTCACAGGAGAGATCAATGGAATCCCAGAGGAGTCCTAAAAAGGAGACCACAAGTAACAAAGACAGTTGACAATACCCTTGACTACAGCTTTAGGACAAACATACAAGTGGCTTTTCAAAGGGTTATTTGTTGTAATAAGTCTTCAGAACAGGCAAGTAGCTCCTTGTCCTTGAGCCTCAGGATCTCTGGCAGTTCATGCAATGGGGATAATGCCATGGAAACCTCCAGTTCAGGCCCTTTAGGAGGAAAAAAAATCCAGGCACTGTTCCTCAGTAGGACTGATTTCCTCTCCTTCTCAGGGAACTTATGAGCCAAGTCCAGACTCTCGTGCAGAGGATGAAAGATGACCATGTGAGTCGGATTTATGGTTATTTTTAAGCACTAATTTTCTAACCCACTAAAGTCCCCAAATGGAGTGGTCTGCCGTGAAAACAGTGAGCCCCATCACTAAAGGCATTTAAACAGTGGTAGGACAGCCCATATCCAAGGCCCTGGAGGAGATTACACCCATGGTGGTGGGGGTGGGGTGTCATCACTGATCACAATGATCTTGAAAGTCCCTCCTGATGCTAAGGTTCTGTGGTCTATAAATCAGCCTCTAAAATTCTTTCAGCTCCGAGATTCTGATTCTATTATTTTGAGTGGGCAAGGAAGTCTTAGAAGGTTGACTGGATTCCCTAGAGCTGTGGCATTATTTGTGTGTTTGTTGGAAATCATCAAGCATTTTCCTCCTGTATAGAGAGTGAATTTCCGCAAGGACTGGAAGATTATCACGGTGCTGATTGGAGGCAGCGATTTATGTGACTACTGCACGGATTCGGTAATGGGGGCAGCCGGGCCTACTCATTGCTCCTGACATTGACCAGTAGGCTTGGGGGTCCTCTTTGAGAACAGGCCCTGGAACCAAGGCTGGGACTGTCCAGCTATGCCTGTGTGTGTGTGCGTGCGTGCGTGCACGCACAAACACACACACACTCACACTCCTCTTACCCCGTGACCCTCAGATTTCTGGCTCCACCTCCACGTCCCAGGTGGTAGATGTGGTGCTTCTACTCTCCTCTTACAATTCCAGAAAATCCAGAAAGCGTGGAAAGTGTGTAGACCCCCACAGTGGGAGGGAGGACCTGTACATTCACCTCCTAAACTAAAGCTTGTCTTCGGGCTGGCCCATCTTTGGTGACAGCAAGGAATCAACTGTTCCGATTCTGACGCGATGAGCTGGTCACAACCAGGGGCTAGAGGGAGAAGAAGTCCTTTGCGTGGAGCCAGAGGGGGGCCTTCAACTGGCCCCCTACCCTCTCCCCTGAACCAGCCCCTCACCTCTCTCCTCTCTCTTCCCAGAATCTGTATTCTGCAGCCAAGTTTTTTGACCATCTCCGCAATGCCTTGGACATCCTGCATAGAGAGGTGGGTAGGGGTTCCCGCAAGGGGTTCTTGAGCTAGACACAGCTCAAGGATGTGGGGGGTAAAGGTGGATGGAGACAAGAAGGTGAGATGCCCCCTCCCCTGAAGGAGACAGCCAGGGGCGTGGGCTCCTCCCGTTTCTAGAGTTCGGGCCCTACCCCAAGGAAGCCTATTCCATTTGGAATCAACACAGAAGGATCTCAGGCTTGAAGAAAAGTAGGCAGCTCGTGTGCTAATCATCCCCTACCACCACCTGGGACATTGCCTAGGGGCAGCAGCATGATGGCTCCCAGGCTGGGCCCTGCACTCTGAGCCGTAGGCTGTATCTGGAGCAAGCCCCTCTCTGGTCCTGCTCCCAGGAGCTCATTCCCTTTCTACCCCCCTGACATGGGGAAGCCGCTCCAGCAGCCCAGTGGGGGGCACTCCAACCACCACCTGCTTCTCTGGGCGGCTGAGTCTTCATGCCTGCTCAGCAGAGTGGGTCCAGGTTGGGCTAGAGGGAAACGGCAAATGGGGCACCTATCCCAGCACATTTGAAGCTTGCTGACTGATGGCTGAATACAGCTGAACCATCAGGAGTTGGACTCCGGTCTGCCATATTGCCCCACGCCAGGAGGCTGCTGTAGCTCATGTGGGCACCGTAGCCTGCAGGGACCTAGGCGGTCATCTGTGTAGACGCCTTCCCAAGACTCCACTCAGGGACAACTGAGCTGGAGTTCTGTAGGGACCCTAGAGCTAGTCCCACTTCTCAGGACCCTAAGGCAGTTTGAGGGAGAAGCCCCCAGAGTCCCTCTCTCACCTGCAGCCTTTCCCTTAGGTGCCCAGAGCCCTGGTCAACCTGGTGGACTTCATGAACCCCAGCATCATGCGACAGGTGTTCCTGGGCAATCCAGACAAGTGCCCTGTGCAGCAGGCCAGGTAGGCAGGTGCTGGCTGCCCCAGAAAGAGAAGCACTGACCCCCTGGTCTGGCTCATACAGTGGTGACTCCTCAGGGTCTTTGTGACTTGGTTTGTCTATGTGTCCAAGTCTGTAAAGGGGGTCTTAGGTCAGGAGCGCCCCCTTCTGAGAGGTTGGTGACATGGCCCCCCTTACTGAACCTCTGTGACATGGGAGCCACAAAGGAGAAGGTCAGGGCTGGGACAAAGGCTGGTGTTTGAGAAACAGTGTAGCCCAGCCTGTGAAAAGGGGAACCGTGTAGGGATGTATACGTACGTGGTCAAGTTGGAACAGAAAGTGAGGAAATGATCCACAGAATTCGGTTACCTTTCCGGGGAAGGAGCCAATTGGGGAACTTCAGAATGGGTGTGTTTTGTTTCTGACGCAGGGTGAGAGGTGCACAGGTACACGTTTCGTTCATCTTCATACCTTATATGTACATTTATTTATTTAACCAATAGTTTCACAGAACCAACTGTGTGCCTGGCACTGTTCTGAGTACTTTAGAGATAATATCTGCTTTAACATTAAGTGCATTTCGTGAGCGTGAAATAACTCATGATGAAATTCATTCAGACTCATTATGAATTCACAGTTCACGGTGAAGGGGGACACAGTGAGACACTAGTGTGAACTAAGGAGGTATCTGAGGGCGTGAGCATCAGAGGCCCCCAAACATAGGTTCCCATACCAAGGATGCATTTTAATTTTATTCTTAAGAATTCAACACTGAATTTTCATTGCCTAAATTCATTTGTTCGGCATAACTTGCCACAGGCCCTGTGCCGACAGTCAGATACTGGTTCTCTATGAGTATGAGAGGGTGTTCACTCACGTGCCCTTGGGACTTTGTCCAGTCCCTGTGTCAGGCCGGGAACCTGCCCCTGAGAACAGGCATCAGAGCCGAGGGGCACATGTGCTCCTAAGGTGGGGGGGGGGGGTGCGGCTCAAGCGAACAGAACCAGTTCTGACCAGAGCTTCAGCTCCGGGTCCCCCTGCCTCCCCCTCTTTGTGCAGCATTTTGTGTAACTGCGTTCTGACCCCTCGGGAGAGCTCCCAAGAGCTGGCCAGGCTAGAGGCCATCACCCAAGCCTATCAGGTGAGACCAAGAAAGGCACCATCCGGGGTGCCCTCCCCCTACTCGGTCAACACACCAGTGCTTGGGGAAGGGAAGAGCTATTCGAGGTTTGGGGACATCACCATCTGGGCCCCTTCCTCTGTCCCACCTCGCTGAAGTGTCTCAAGCACCTCGGTTAGAGTCATCCCAAAGGGATCCAGGTGACAACGCCCTTGTGGCCCAGCTGCCCTCGGTGGCTTAACCCCGTGCTCGGCCTGAAGAGGTCAGTAGTTCTAGGTGCTCCATGAGTGGGCCTTTTCCTCCCCTGCACCCTGGAGGCCCAGCTGCCCCCGTCCCTCCCCCGTTCTTTCCCCCTTCTCACCAGGCAGACCACAAACGGGGGGGTTAGAGGCCCTGAGCCTGTGGCCTTCTGGAGACCCTGCTCAGGTTTTTATTCCTTGTGGGACTTCCTGTCTGGCTCTTCAGATTTTGCAATTCCCTTAAAAGAAAGGTGAACCAACCGGTTTCCAATTCTCTGGAAAGAGATTTGCAGTCACACGTGTTTGTGCTCTTGAGGGAAGGGCTGAGTCACCCCCTCATGCGGGGAGATGGGGGCAGGGATGCTGCCCACCACTCCCTTGCTTCCCCCACCGGGCTTTCGGGCCTCCCAGGGCCTGTGTTGAAAGCACCCCGCGTGTACCCACAGAGCAGCATGCGTGAACTGGTGGAGTCAGGCCGCTATGACACAAGGGAGGACTTTTCCGTGGTACTGCAGCCTTTCTTCCGCAACATCCGGCTCCCCGTCCTGGCGGTACGCTCCCTGTTCTCCCCGTTGGGGCTCCTGGGAGGAGGAAGAAGAAATTCAAGGCAGAGTTGCCAAGGGCTTTCAGGAGAGTGTGAATACAATGGGGAAGGGGCAGGCAACTCTCCGGGTGCTGGTCTGGCTGTACAGCCTCCTTGGGCACCTGAGCTGTGTTCCTAGAGGCAGCCGGATGTGGGATGTTTTCATTACTACTGATAGTGACCTCCATTTTGTTAAGCACCTGCTATGTGCCAGGCCCTGGGTCTGCCGTAGTAAAATCTTCACAACTACCTTTGAGAGGAGTGTCTTCATCCCCACATAACAGGCTCAGAGGGGTGAAGTATCCTTCCTACAATCACATAGGGAAAGAGGGACGGAGAGGCAAGATTTGAACATATCCAACTTCAGATTATACACTTTATGCCACACACGGACCACCGAAGTGATAAAGGAGGGTTCTGGGTAATGGGTCCCCCTACCCCCCGGCCATGCTCTCCACCTGACACACTGCGCCAAAGAGCTCTGTGTGTGCACTGGGGTGGGGACTCGGTTCTCTCCTCCTGGGCCTCCATCCACAGGGTCTCGCCTAGTTGGAGGGGAGCTGGAAGAGGCCTTGAGCGCCCCTGATCAATCACCTCAAGAGAGATGAGGGTGTTGGTTGCCCTGGTGTCAGCTTTGCCCAGGCCTGCCCCAAAGCTCTGCCCCACTCTCCCCACCAAGACCACTGGAACCAGTTGACCAAGGCCTGGGAAGGAGCTTTTCCTAGCTGGCTTGCCAAGACTTCCTCAGGGACTAGGATCTCATTCCCTCAACCATGGCATGGGCTAGGGCATTGCACAACTGTGCCTAAAAATAAATATAACAGTTTTTAAAAACATTAAATAAGTGGCATTGTGGGGCCAGAAAGGAGACTGGGGGGTTGGGGTCACCCAAGGCTATTGATCTGTGGGATTGCTCTTATCTCCCTGTTGAGGTGAGCAGACCTTGTAGAAGGCCTCTTGGGAGCTTCCCTAGAGGGAGGGGGGCACCGAGTGGCCAACCCCAGGGGTCAGGCCGATCAGCTGCGGCCCCCTCTTTACCCTCCATACCAAAAGGATCTTAAATCCATTTTTCTCTTTCAGGATGGGCACCTTGATATATCCTTCTTCGCCCCAGACTGTATCCACCCAAGTCAGAAATTCCACTCCCAGCTCTCCAGAGCCCTTTGGGCCAATATGGTAACATAAGTGGGGTATCCCTGGGGCTCTGGGGCTCTAGTCTAGCAAAGCACCAGCACCTATAGAATGTTCCTGGCCTCCCTTTGCAAGTAAGGTGTAAAGGAGCAGTGGCTGGCCCAACTGTAGAAGTCTATAGAAGCAAAAATACGGAGTCCTTAGGATTCTCGGATCAACTTCACTCTCTCCTTTGTGCTTTGAGCTGTGAGGAGGGACTCTCTTTGGAATGCCAGGCAGACCCCTCACATTCATTCAATATGTTCTACGTGCCAGCAGCTAGGCGAGGCGATGTAAACCATGTTATCTCAGCCTCTCGCCAGGCCTGCCAGCCAACTCTCAGGAGTTTCTGAGGAAGCCGAGTCCTGGAGACGCGGAGACACTTGCCCAGTGTCCCCCAGCAGAGCCAGGAGAGGAGGCCAAACCCCCTGACCTCAAGCTGTGAGCTGTCCCCGCTGCCAGGTGCTGCCAGGGAATGTTCGCTTCAGCGGCAGCAAATTAGTGCATCTGATCTCTCTTTTCTTCCCCAATAGCTTGAGCCACTAGGAAGGAAAACAGATACCCTGGACCTGATGGCAAATATATCCCTCTCCTGCCCTCCTCAGGTAATCGGGGAGGACCTGCCTTGCCCCTCTCCAGACACCAGAGCTCAGACCTTGCCCTCCCCTGGTCCTGGCCCAGATGGACTTTAGAAGGTGAACAGGAGGACTTTAGAAGGAAGGAAGTGGCTGGGAACTGAAAGCAGAGGAGAGAGCGCAGAAGCCCTTCTTTGACAAGATGAGAGAAGCAGGTGGTGGGGGTGGGAAGCCCAGGCCAAGCAGAGGCAGAGGATCCGGACGAGAGCTGTGGGTTCATGGGAAGGTGGGGGTGGGGGCAAGAACCCAGAAGTGTGGCAAGAAGGCTCATTTTAGCAACAGCGCTTGGGGCCTCTGGGAAAGTCTGACTGCGGGTCAGGAGCCTTCGTGAGAAGCCAGGCGGCTCTGAAGTTGTGGTTAGTGGTCTTAGAGCCAGGAGTGGGAGCTCCCAGCAGTGCCAGGGGTCAAATAGGAGAGCTGGCAAAGGGCACCAGGGAGCTGGTGGAGGAGGGGCCACTGGGGCAGGACTAGCTCAGGGCTCCTTTTAAGGAGGAAAATGTTAAGTGGTTGTTAAACTTGATTTCAGGCCTAGGGTGGGGGCAGGTTCCCACTGCCTTCAGCTCCCTTTCCTAGGCCCTGTCTTAACAGCTTTTTAACCAAATAAGGTGGAAGCCAGAGGGCCCTCAGGCGAGAGGTGGTTAAAGCGGAAGGGCCTGACCCAGCCTGACCCTTTCCCTGCTGGGTCTGGCGGCCTCACCCTCTCCTGCCCTGAGGGCTGAGCAGGAAATTGACAGGCAGCTCCCCCATGTGTCTACCAGGGCTCCAGGGAGCGTGGGCACCCTAGCTCACACCCGTGCTCCCTACCTGCTGCCTCCCCCAGCCCAGCCTCGTGCACCATCAGGAGGGCAAGGGTGGTGGGAAGGAGGCATAGAGAATGAAGGCAGTGAGGGCAAAGGGCTGGGTTGCTGGCCCTAGTGCTTGGAGCAAAGGAACAGGCAAACGATGTAACACGGATGCCTCCTGCCCAGTCCTCAGATCTGCTGAAGGGCTGGGGTGAGGTCCCAGAGGGAGCCCTACTGTGTCAGGTGTAGACTGTTTAATTGCTAGGTCCTGAGCCCGTCCAGGAGTTTCCAGGGGAGGGGTCAGGCAACCTACATAATGGGGGCATTTGGGGACTCAGAGCAGTGGCTGTGAACCATACCAGAGGTATTTCAGTGTTTTGACAACCCGGATGGCCATCCTGAACATCAGCCATGGAAAATCCTCTCCGATCTGTCAATTGCCTTTCCGTTAAATCGTAAATGTAATAACTCCTTCCAGGGACCGGTCATTCACTCTTCCTCCCCACAAACATTTATTAAGTACCAGGTCGGAGCCCAGGTGCCGGGTCAGGGAGAGCTCTGTCACCATGGGCCTCAAGGGGACCTGTGCCACTCTCTGCCCCAAACCAGGCAAAGAGCCACAAAAGGGTGCCGCTTCAACCGGCACGTCGGGCCACAGTGGGCTCTGCCCCAGCTTCTGGACTGAACCTGACTGAGCCATTGGTAAGCAGAGGAGAGCAAAGCCAGCCTCTGAGAACTGCAGAAGCCCAGCCTGGGAGAAGCGGTTGCCAGGCAACCCCAGAGCCCGTTCCGAAAGGATCCATCTGTTGGCCAGCCCCGCTTCCCCACACCAGGCAACGCAGCACCCTGCGTCCCCCTGGCCCATCTGCTCCCTCCCGTGTGCCTCCGAGCTATATAAAAGTCCACCAACATCTCAGTGCGAGCCGACAGGGGCCAGGCAGCACATATTTTAGACCTAGCTGTGTCTAAACATAGAGGCAACAGGCAGGACCCAGCGGGGAGAAGGGGGCCGGGATGGATGGGAGCACTGGAGAGCTTTCTCAGCCTCCTCCCTGCTCCTCCCCCTGCCCTAGGCAACTGCGAGGTATTCTGCCAGGCGGGTCGGGCACTTAACAGCACTCCATGGATTTCTGTCGGACTTTCAGGTTGGACACATGATCTTCCAGCCAGCTTTTGATTAGCCGCTCTGTGGACTGCGACCGCTGTCCCCTTTCTGTTCTCATTGCCTCTCTGCCCACGCCTCCCCTAACCCAGGGCAGCCGGCTGTGGCTCCTCTCCAGGCTTTGAAGAAACCAGCTGGAAAACCAACATGGGTCTCTCTCTGCTCCCATTCCTCTTGTCCTCTCTCCGCCTTTGTCCGTGTTAACCGCCTTCTCCATGAAGTTCATCTCTGCCTGCATTCCTGGAGGCAAAGCCGCCATGGTTGGGCTGTTTCTCTAGTCACTGTCTCTTCTTGTTTCCCAAATGGGGACATTCTCCCACTTTCCTGTCCCACCTCGATTCCCTTTTTCTGTCTCCACGTCCCCTCGCTCAGATTTATCGGTTTCCACGGTTTTCTGTTAAATTTCTCTGCCCAGACTTCCCCAGCCCGTGTCTTCATTTCTCCTCTCTTAAACTCCAGTTCTGTTCTTCTAACCTGGGAGAGATGTTTCCTGCTGGGGTGCCCTGGGTGGCGGAAGGTTGCCCAGAAGGCAGCTTAAACGTATTGCCGGGGTATCAACAAAGCGGGGAACCAGAGAGAGACACCGAGAAGGGTGAGGACAGAGAAAGAGGGAAACTAAAATAACGTTAAGTGCTATTTCACCAATCTTTCATCTTGAGAAAAAGGAGAGGTCTGCTGGGTTCTCTTATATTTACTTTACTGCCTAGCAGGGTTTCTCTTTTGAATTACATATGGGGGACACTATTATATTTTGAATGCTTTGGACTTCTAAATCCTGCCCCACCTCACCATCACCCCAAACTCAACAAACATCCATCCAAAAAATTATTTCTGAGTAAGAAATGTCAAAATAGGCACTAAATATTTGTCTCCCCAAACCGTCTGATCCTTAGGACTTCCCTATTTCTGTATTGTTGTGGTTTTCACAGGTCTGTGGGTGTGGGACGTCGGGTGCCCTATCTGATAGGAGCCTTCCTAGTGCCCCCCCCCACCTGTCCTCTTTTCCTTTCCTCCTGCCACCACCTCCATTCACATCCTCATCACTTTGTGTGCTAAACATCCTGTGGCCCTTCCCACCATAAAACAACAGAGAATTCTATAACCTTAGGATCTCAGCAGGGAGGGCCTTGGCGTCCTGTGGGTGGGATGTGTCCTGTAATAACTGAGCTATTCCTCCCAAGGCATCTCTACGGCGTCTACTTAAACTTCCATGCTCTCAAGGCCGCACCTTTCAACTGGCTGCCCAGTTGTGAAATCAGATTAGTCGGTCATGAACCAGCACGTTTGGAATGGGATGGGACAGGGTAGAGAGGCCAAGGGCATTCCATATAGTACTGTTATGTCCTCCTTCCCGTCACTAGCACCAACCCCCACCCCCCGCACCCTCCCTCGTCTTCTCCTTATCTCAGACAAGCCTTCCAAACCCTGCCTCATGTGGTAGGTATGCCCCCTGGAATGTAGGCCCCCTTTGGGTAGGTGCCTAGGCTTGACTGTACCCTCCTCGTTTGGTCTGAGCAGCACAGGACAGAAGAAAACCTCCACTCCTTCCCTGCAGAACCTCACACCTAGTAACACAGCCAAGACGAACATGACCTTCCCTGTAGCCACTGACTCACGGTGCTGATTCATGACAGGTGGCCGTGCTGGCACTGGCCACCCCAGGCAGGCCACACCATCTCTGCACGGCCCTGCCTAGGAGAGCACACGCCCTGGTGCTGGCATCCCATCAGCTTCACTTTCTACCTACTGGCGTTACAGATCTAGCTCCAGAGAGCCAGTCAGACTCGCTGCAATCAGTCCCTTTTCCACCTTATCAGCTCCACGCTAGGCCCTTCCACCGCTGTGACTCACGCATGCACTATGTGGTCAATGGTCAATAAACAAGGCTACCTCTCTGCCACTGCCCTGGACCTGTTCTCATTGTTCCTGCTCTGGCCTCACTCGCCACAGCATTCCAGTGTCTCCTTGACCTCTGACCCCTTTGACTCAGTCTCCCCTTTCTGGCCTCTCCCCCAACCCTTGGGTCATGTGACCAAACCGACTCTCCAGTTGGCCTTTCAGGACTCCCAGAAGGGCAGGGTGAGTCTTTGCCCCCTGGTTGTTCCTGTGCTGGCCACTCTGGGGCTAGCTCCAGCCCCAGACCCTGTACCCAGTCAGGTCTCCCTTGACGTGGTGGGGAGAACCATTGGTGACCCTCCACGCACCGAGTCTCCTACTTGAGGTCCATGTGTCCCCAGATCCTGTAGCCAACTCTTCAGCAATTACTGCACTTACTGGACACACTGGTCTCTGAGGCTTTACTTCCTCACAGCGTCATCTCATGCTTTCTGCCTGACCGGGTTGTGAGCCTCTTTGTACCCTCCCCTCATCGTAACACCTAGAACAGGGCTCTGAACACATGGGCCGCTTACACACACGTAGGTCAGTTATTTGTAGAATGCTCCCACATTGCCCTCCCGGGATGGGGAATGCTCAGCGGCTGCCAACAATATCAGCTGAGACCAGCCCAGTTAGCCATGGTGACGTGCCATCGTGAGCCCTCCGCGGCCTTGCACGCTTCCTGCCCTTGGCTCTCAGTACTCATCAGGCCCATGTTTCAGCTAGGAAGGCTGAGCCTCAGGAGGAGGGAGAGACACATGGGGGTTCCGGGATCACTGGCCTGTCCGGTCAGACCCCACTCTGCACTCACTACCTGCTCTCTACCTGGACCAGGTCCCTCCCCTGTACTGGACCTCGGTTGCTCCTCATCTGTAAAGTGGGGGCTTTCGGGGGGGGGGGTGGCAAACTCAGAGGCCAGGCCAGGCAGGAACACAATTGGGTGGATGGGACTAGGTATCGGACAGGAGGCAGTGGGAGGGCCGGAACTGAAGACCCATGCACCTTTTCTTAAAGCATTCAGACTCTTCCTCTCTCCTCCCCACCCCCCTTCTTTTTTCACACCAGTCAGGCCAAAATAAAGGAGAACAAAACAAAATGTCTTCTGGCTCAGTTTAGCCCACGGGCAGTCAGTTTTCAACCCCTGGAACTGATCCCCAGTGACCCCCCTCCTCCAACATTCTTGTTCTTCTTTCTTATTCCCATTTTAACCTAAATGTTTAGACCATTCCACAGAGCACATCTGGTGAAAGTGTCGGTGGCCCTAGGCCACTTGCTCACTCCTGGTCTCAGGCTTGTTAACTTGTTCTCGCTTCTTATCATTTTTACATTTTCTCATTACTTTGTGTTTCCCCTGTTTCTCCTTTGCCTACTTCCTTCTTCCTGCTTCAATTAACCCTCACCTGCGACTGAATACACTTGGATCTTGACCGGGCTTGGGAGAAAACCAATTGTGAAATAGGTTAGGACATGAAGAGGCTGCCTCACGATAAAAATAAGACCACAGTACATGAAGCCAACCTGAAGGGAGTAAGACACAAAGTTCAAAGGAGGCAAGGGAAAAAAAAAAGATGAAAATATACTGATAGTCAATACTTTCTGGAAAAGAAAAAAATGCTATAATGCGGATCTCTTGTCGGAGAAGGTACAAAGGAAATAAAAGCGATCATTCTGAGGATTAGGTAGATAGACGTTCTGTTGCTACAGTGAAAACCAAACCCTAGAACCCTGAGAAGAACATGCACAGAACCCTTTTGAGGTCTCTGCACCTCCTGCCAAAGCTGTTACATAAAACCCTTCAGAGGATGAATTAAATTAAGTTTAGGCGGTTCTTACTATTGAAATGCAGACGAGTCGTGTTAAATAAATCCAGAGGACGGCATTGTTAGTCCTCTTTCCTAAGTAATCTTCCAGGCTGTCAGATAAGCTCTCCCTGTGGTTTCTGTTCTCTTTTAGAATGAGCCCTTCCTGAGAACTCCCCGGAACAGCAACTACACCTACCCCACCAAGCCGGCCATTGAGGTAAGCCCCGACGCACGTCGCCTCTCTCAGGGACAAAGCATTTCTACCTGCCAGTGACTCGGGGTGTGGTACGCTTTCCAGAGTCTGAGCTTAAGCAGAAATGCACCCATCTTACATACTGGAAATTGGAATGTGGAAAAAAAAAAAAAAAAAAGGTTCCTGAACCATGAAATTCCCGGTTTGTCCTAACATGTTCTCAAGTGCTTACTGACATCAGCAACCAACTAGCCGAAGTACCAGTGGATCGGCTTTCGTGAACCTTTGCACAGACCTCATTTCTGATTAGGCTGCTCAGCCTTTCAAGCAGGGGTGAGGGGGAGGTGGTGGGTTTGATGAGCCATAGACTTCCGGCAAGGTGGAAGCTGAGTGGGAAGAGCCTCAGTTCCAGGGGCCGGGCCCAACAGGAAGCTGACACATATCCAGGTGGGTCCCCAGGGCTTGTCTGATTCAAGTCAATTGTTCTAGCTCTGAGGAACCCCGAAGGTTCAAGGCCCGTGGCTTTAGGGACTGCTTACTCCTGAGATGGCCTGAAGATGCTTTGCCACGCAGGCCTGGTCCAGACAAGATCCGTCAGCCACCAGGACGGGGGCTCAGCCACCGGTTTCAGCTAAGCACCTATGGCACATGTCCAGTCTTGTGCTGGGGGCTGGAGGGAACTCAGAGAAGTATCAGACATAGTCCTCTCCTTGAGGAGTTCGAGGTCATTCCATAATGAGCACTTACGACGTGCCTAGCACTGCTCCAGAGAGACAGAGCAGACCAGACAGATGGGTTCCACCCCTCAGGGAGCTTACAGTCTACTGGAAGAGGCATCCGATACCTAGCTCTACGCGATCGTTTCAGCTCTGAGGGCGGCTCCGTGGGAGGTGATTTGAGAAAGTGTGAAGGGGCAAGAGAGGGGTGGCAAGTTCTGATGAGCCTCACAGACCAGGCCTCTCTGAGGAGGGGAGCTAGGAGCTGGGATGCGCGTGATGAGAAGTCCCTGGCCATCTGGAAAGCCAAAGCCGGGGTCCCAGGCAGGGCTAAGAGTACAAGGGCTCAGAAGTGGGGCTGAGTTGGGGGATTGGAGGAAGAGACAGAAGGTCGGAGTGGCTGTGGGCGAGTGAACAAGGGGGAGGGCGGTGGGGTGGTGAGCTCAGAAGGGTTGTCAGGGCCCAGGTCACAGTGAATCTGAATTCCCGAGGAAGAAGATGAGGCTTCAAGTGGAGAGACGTGGGAAGGCCCTGGACCTTCTGGGAGAGGGGAACACAGTCTGGTTCACTGTGTGGAAAGATCTCCCTGACTAGAGTGGGAAATGGGTCGAAAGCAGCAGGAGTGAGTGAAGACCTTTCATAAGCCAGCGGGAGCGCTGAGGCTAACTTGTATGAAATTCTTCAAGGACTGTTAGATGCTGAGCTCTGGGGAATGAGCCACGTCAGTCTCACGGCTGTCCAGCTTCTCTGGATTCTCTCAGGCTCCCATTAGCCCAACGGAGGCTTATCCCAGGCAAACCATGGCCCCAAATCCACTATAACCGAAATGTCAGCTGCATCCTGTCAACGAGGCATTGATTTACTTATCAGATTCCTGACTGGAGCAGGCACTATGCTAAGTGCTGGGTAGATGAGGTGAGCAGAGAGCTCTCTGCCTGCCCTCTTGGATCTTACAGCCTCATGAACCTTTACTTCTGCTGCTAAAAGTTAAACCCCAGGCCTAGAAGGTGTTACTTTTTTCAATACCTTGCCATTTAAAGTAGCCACAGACAAAAATAAAAAATTAAAAAATTAAAAAAAATAAAAATAAAGTAGCCACAGACAGGTACCGTCAACATGACCGAGGAACTTGTTAGACATGCCGAATCCCGAGCACCACCCCAGTCCTACTGACTCGGAATCCGTGTCCGACAAGACCCCCAGGGGATTCGGGTGCCCTGGTGCAGGGTACAGCACGGGGTTCTTCCCTTGTGACAGACGAGCGTGCTCAAAGTCCAACCTGCATTGGTTACGGCTGCAGGGAGCATGCTTGTCTCTGGCTCACCAGCTAGCTGAGACATTTCTAAAGGGTTCCCGACTAGAGAACTTCTTTGAAGCTGCTTTTTCCCAGATGTTTGTCCTCTGCACACAAGCATGTTCTTGATTTCAATAGAATTTCCACATCAGTGTGATGAATTTATCCCAAGAGCAACCTCTTGGGATAAACTCACTTCTATCAGATTTAAGCAAATAATATTTTAAAGAGGTTGCATCTTTGCTCCCTCGGGAGAGGAGACTTTTCAACAAGGCTGGTCTTTACCATCTGCTGACTAAACAGAAGAGGTGAGCGACAGAAGCCTCTGGCAGTCACACCCCCAGAGAATCAGTCACCCAGTCGTCACCTGTTTGCAAAGCCCTACCATGCGTTCAGCACTGGGCTTGTCCTTCAGACCCTCCTGGGGACGTGCAAGTGTTGGGGACTCTGGGGAAGAGACTTTCTCCTTCAACGTACTGACACTGGTCATTTCTGTGTCCTGTGCTTCCCACCCCGTCCCCTCCTCCAGCACCTAGAAAATGTGCTCTGTATTCTAGAGACAAGGGAATCTGACTAAAGGCATCCAGGTTACAGGCATTAATTTATACACACACAGGAAATTGGTTGGCAGAGCAACTAGCATAATGAGACCTGGGGTCTAGCCAACTAGCTTGGTTGGCTATTAAGTTAAATATGCGGAAAGCAGGAATGTTACAATGGTAAAAATATCATGGTATTTTCCTAAAAATATTCTAATATTGTTGTGGCCCCAGCATTGTAATCAGTGTCCAGTGGCTGAATGTTAAACGGCAACACCAAAACCTATGTGTAATCTTCCATTAGGGCATCCGAATCTATGTTCCTTTGGGAGACCACCTATAGCACTTTGACTGTTCTCTCCCCCCTTTGTTGTGACTTCTGGCTCCACGAAGACTGTGGATGAGTTGAGCTGGGAAGCACTGAGTATGCGTATGTGTGCCTGCGCATTATGTGTTTTGGGCAAACTGGTAGATACCCAGTTTCTCCTGATTTTCCTCTCAGACCATCTACAGTGAATGGTTCCTGCCTACACGTGATTCCCTACACGGACACAGTTCTAGCCTCCATCAAAAATTCCTTAGCCAATTCTCCCTGGACCAAAGCTAACCCTCCTGCACAATGAGTTGTGGGTGTTGTTGTCTTTCCTCCTGTTGCTTTAGAATTGGGGCAGTGACTTCCTGTGTACAGAGTGGAATCCTTCCAACAGCGTCCCCACCTCAGGTGAGTGGAAATATCATCATTATCCCCTTCAGTTAAGGACTTTGCTAAGTGTCAGGTTGGGGGGACACCCTACAAATACACCTTGGAGCCTTGAGCAGACATTGCTGGTTCCCATGCAGTACGGATCTTGATCCTGGGCAGTCCATGAAAAGCTAGCCTGCAACCACTGCTGGGCTCCCAGGCCTCTCCATAGATCACACTTTTTTGAGAGAGAGAGAGAGAAGGAGAGAGAGGGAAAGAGAGACAGCAAGCACAGGGGAGGGGCAGAGGGAGAGGGAGAGAGATGCCCAGCATGGAGCCCGACGTGGGGCTTGCTCACAAACCGTGAGACCATTACCTAAGCTGAAATCAAGAGTCAGGTGCTCAGCTGACCGACCCACCCAGGCATCTGCACAGATCATACTTCTCATCCCTGTTTAGTCCCAGTGGCAGCCCCTCGGGCCTCCCTGCCCAGTAGGGAAGGTATAGTCAGGGATCGGGGCCCTATCTGCCTATGCTCAAGACTCCTGCAACCAGCACATTCCTGGACTACCCCAGTGTGAATGGGGTTCCTCTCAGGATGGACGATAGCCATCAAGCCCGTTACCCTCAGTGCCCTGGTTGCTCCAAATGGATGGAAGAGGCAAATTTGTTAAGTCTTAAGCTAGAAATAAATCTAACAGGGGCCCGAGGGACTGTAGCAGAACCTCCAACTCCTAGTTAAGCTTCTACTTTACACAGAAGAGTCTCCCTGATCATGTGTCTTTTTCCTGTCTCCCCTAGTCCATGAGCTCCGGCCAGGAGACATCAAAGTGGTGGCCGCGATGGGCGATTCATTGACTGTGAGTGCTGAGCCAGGAGGGGCATGGGCACCCCCTAACCCAGCCAGACCCTGTGTAGAATGCACACTTCTTCCACACTGGCTTTGCATTTAGCACTTAGCTGACAGTACTGAGAACCTACCTGTGTCAGGCACTGAAACCCAGCCAGGCAGCCACAAGACCTCCAGGCAACCTAGAATGCTCTGCCCTCCGCCCTTCCACAATCCTGCTCAAACACAACCTCTTCCGTGAGGGCGGCCCTCCGTCCCCACTTTCCTACTGTTCCCAAGCATTTTATCTGTGTATTATGGCGTAGTTATCTGAATCTGCCTGCCTTTATCAGGGAACTCATCTCCAATCACCCAGACTCACAGAGCGGTGTGTGCAAGGCAGGGGGTGGGGGGGTGGGGGGGTTGTTACCTACACACTACTTAGCACCCCCTCACCCCATTTGCAGATGTGTTCTTTGGGGGCAGAGAGAGCCCAATTCCTACATATAGTGTAGTTTCTCTGCACAAATTGTATTAGCTATTGCTGTATGCAGGATGCTCTGCTAACCATTCTGAGGGAAGTATGAGATGTGGTCATAATCCTTAAGAAACTTGTCAAGCTGGAAAACTAAGCAACTTACACAGAAGGAGATATATAATCATATAGGCGACACACGGGCCTTTTAAAATCAGGTACTCATTTCTGGAAAAAACAACTTCCCCATATGCGTGTGAATGTGGTAAATTTTGATATAAACATGGAGAAAGCTTTGGAAGGATAAACCCCAGGGTCTTAACCATTAATTAGCTCTGATGATGTGTATGTGGGTAGGGGTGGGGGAGAGATATAGAACAGGTGGCAGGAGGCAAGATTAATAAGGTGGGGGTAGATTGTTAATTTTTTTACATTTTTTAAATGTTTATTTTCGAGAGAGAGACACAGAGCATGAGCAGGGGAGGGGAAGAGAGAGAGGGAGCCACAGAATCTGAAGCAGGCTCCAGGCTCTGAGCTGTCAGCACAGAACCCAACGCAGGGCCCGAACCCAAGAACTGTGAGATGATGACCTGAGCCCAAGTTGGACGCTTAACCAACTGAGCCACCCAGGTGCCCCAGTAGATTATTAATTTAAAAAAAATCTTTGTATCATTTCACTAATTATAATGAACATGTATTACTTTTGTAAGTTTCAAAGAGGAATTTCTCTTTTTTTTTTTAAAGAGAAGACATTTAGAGAAAGCTTCATACAGGAGGCTGAAACTGAGAAGAGTCTTAGAGGAGGAATTAGAGATTTAAGGACTGGAAAGCGGGTAGTTCAGATTTCCCAGCAAGGATGCAGTGGGTGGTAACTAGGTAGGCTGGTCCAAGGACTTCATGCTTCAGATCAATTTGCTTCCACCTGAAGGTTTGTGTGGACTAGAAAGCAGGGGGTGAACAAGGGAAGGGAAGTAGAACCCAGATTGTGGTGAGCTCAAAACATTGGTAATGGGGTTTGGCTTTGACCAAGTGGTAAGAGAGACCCACTGAAAGGCAGAGTCAGGAGCGGGGAGGGGTGTGAAGAAAGAGGTGGGCTCAGAAGTACAGGTGGGCACTCCGGTGAGAAGGGAAGAGACACTGGAGACCGTGGGGTCAGGTGGGAGGCCAGAGTGTCGTCTACAACAGGAGGCAGGAGTCTCACTTAGGAATGTAGCACAGAGGACAGACAGAAAGGGATGGGAGCTGGAGAGGCTGGGAAGGAAGAATCTTGATAATTCCAGGACTTGGTTATGAGTTATGTGTAGAGGAGTAGGGAGTCAGGACAACCCAGAGATTACGTGGCCTGGAGAAAGCTGGTACGATCTTCAGAAAAGGTAAATCCAACTCCCCACTTCTACATGTGCCAGGGCCACAGGGACCCTTCCCAGTCCCCTCGGCCTACACCTGGGCCCAGCACAGTTCTGGAGCCTTCTCTCTGCCTTTCACAGACAGCATTGGGAGCCAGACCAAGCAACTCCAGCGACCTACCCATGTCCTGGAGAGGAGTCTCCTGGAGGTGAGGATGCTCTCCACTCATTTTCCAACAATGATTCCCCCCGCCCCTGTCACCCCTCCAGAGACAAGCCTGGGTTCCCACAGTCTGGCCCTGAGATGCAAGGAGGCTCCCTGATGCTCGTGTCAGTCCCGAGGGTAGTGGGAATCAAGTGTCAGGGGCAGACTCAGAAATATGACGACTGGTGGAGAAGCAGGTCAGGGTGACCCTCACACATGTGCTTTCTCTTCCCCAGCATTGGAGGGGACGGCATCTTGGACACCCACACCACACTGCCCAGTAAGTAGCAACACAGAGAAGCACCGTGACTACGCCCACGACAACCCCTTGCTGAGGCCTGGTCCTGCCCCACCCCTGGGCCCCGAGGCGGCACTCCGTCCCTCTCACCTGTGCTGTCTGCTTCACCCTCTTAAAAGACATTCTGAAGAAGTTCAACCCTCACATCCTTGGGTTCTCCACCGGTACCCTGGAGGAGACAGCAGGACTGAATGTGGCCGTGGAAGGAGCCAGAGCTAGGTGAGTAGCCGTGGAAACGGGAGGAGGAGGAGGGCAAGGCTGAGAGGTCCCAGGAGGATGGGAAGGAGGAGAGAAGGGTGTGTCTGGGAGCCTGGCCCCAGGCGGGCAATGAAGCTGCCGTGGGCAGGACGCCTCTGCATGCCTGACCCCTCAAGTGGATTCGCTCTTGCAATCCTCACATCCTTCAGGGTGGGGACTAGCGTGAGGACACTAAGGCTGACAAAGTCTCCTGAATGCCCCAAGGTTGTCAGAGGAGCCAGGAGAGGCCAGGCTCACCGGGCTGTCACCAGCTCACAGGACAGCAGGAGAGCTTAAGGGTGGCCTGGCCCTGTCCTGCTGACACCAGCTGACCTCCCTGCCTGGAGGAGTGAGGGGGGGGGGGGCTCCGCGCTAACGGGAAGGGTGCTGAGAACTAAGGGCACGGCCCCACGGGCGGCCCCCCTCCCTCTCTCCACCTGTACCGTGGAACCTGGAGTCTTTGGCTCTGTAAAAGCCATCTTTTGACCCTAGGGAGTTAGAGCTTAGGGCCCCGACACAGCACAGCGGCTGTTTGCTTTCACTCCGATTTCTGTTGTCGACAACAACCCAGATAATGAAAGCCGGAACGCCTGACAGAGTTCATTGCTTTTCTGCACAGAGTGTGCTGGGTATTTGCTTTGTAGAAGGATTGCTGCGCTCAGATCACCAGGGAAACGACACTGACCCGCTCTGTTTACACGGAGCGTTCCTCTCAGACGTGGTAAGGAGGGCCCCACGCTCGGCCGGAGTCTCCGAACCACAGGAAGCCATGTCAGTTCCTCAACGTCACGAGCAGGAAGAACTTATTTTGCTTCACGGGGCTTCACGGGGCCATGAAATCAGCATCGAATTACTGTTGTTGCTATGACTGCTGTCACCACTGTCCTCGTTCTATTATGATTGTGCAGCCCAGGCTCCATTCACCAGGGCCTGACTCCTCAGTCTGTTGACATTTGAGCCCCTCTCTCGCTTCACCTCTTACTGCCTTCTCCGTTTTCCTGCTGCTCGGAGCCTCCACCAGGAGTCAGTGGCAGGGGAAGTAGCCGAGACGGGTAGCTTCCCTGTGAGCCTCTCTGATGTCCAGTGATAAGGGACAGGAGAGTAAGCCACTGACCTGAGTAAGCAAGGTTGGAAAGTTGTCCTGGGACTCTCCTTGACCTGCATGGTCATTTGGCACGATGTTGGATTAGAATGAGCGCACCTCAAGAAACAGATAAAGACCACAGCAGAGCAACTAGCATAATGAGACCTGGGGTCAGACCATCTGTGTCCAGATCCCAGCTCCCAGATTGCTGGCTGCGAGACCTTGGACAAGTCACTTAGTGCTTCAGTCTTCATTTCCTCATCCATAAATTGGGATAACAACTGCTCTGCTGGGGTCTTTATCTCTTTTCTTGAGGTGCGCTCATTCTAATCCAACACCGTGCCAAATGACCATGCAGATAAAGGAGAGTCCTAGACCAACTTTCCAGCCTTGCTTACTGCAGTCAATGGCTTAGTCTCCTTTCCCTTATTACTTCTCAGCATTGTCCTAAGAATGAAATGAGATTAATAACCCATGGAAAGTATTGAGTAGAGTATAGGATATGTAGGCCCGCCAAAACGTTTGCCAATATTAGGATATTTACTTTCAAAGTTTTATTCAATGTCCAACTTCCCATTCCATCAACCAATAAGCAAGAAGTCATGGAAACCCGGGACGGGGCTCGAGCCCCAAGGTAGTTACTAAAAGATACAAAAAAATCAAAAGGCGACTTCTTTGTCTATACAAAGAGCTTGCTGTCTCCTTAAGGAGGCCAAACAAACAGGAAATCACTGTCGGAAAGATACCCACATGCAGGTGCAGACCCAGAGGGGACCCCGGGACTCATCGAGTCCAACTTCCTATTTAAAAGATGGAAAAATCAGACCCTAGCCTTGTTCAGTAATTTGGGCGAGCTCACACAGCAGATTAGTACCAAAGCTGGAGGAGAACCCAGGACTCATAATTCCCAGAGTGGGGGCTCTTCACGCCAGGACTGGAAAAGGAAAAGAAGTTGTGGATAAAGGCACTTGGAGAGAAGGCTCACGGGAGCTGAGGGAGTCTGCTCTGAGCCTGCAGGGTATAAAGAACATGGCTGGGAAAGAGGGAGGAAGTGTGCACTCCTAACTTCGCTCATGCTCAAGAGGGCAGCACGTTAAGATCTGAACAGGCTCTTGAGCCTGTTGAAAGGTTACAGACACTTCTGTGGTCCCCTTTAATCAAGACAGGCTTTCTTTCTAGCTTTCTGATGTATTGCATCAATAGCAACAACGTATGGGATAGCATCCTGGATGTGGAAGTGAGAAATAGGGGAGGGGTGGTTCTGGGTGTGCCTGGCCATGTGCCCAGTTCATCGTGGGCAGGCCAAGATTTAAAACGCCCATCTCGTACCAGTTACCGCTTTTAATGACTTCTTCCACAGGAGCCTCCACTGGCTGTGTCCCTTTGCCGACATAACTTTTCGTATGCTTCATTGTTTTTAAAAACCAGCTTTACTGAAGTACAACCGCCATGCAGTACCCTGCACATAAAGTATGCGATTTGATAAGCATGGCTGGCGTATGTGCATAGCTGTGAAGTCATCACTGCAATCCAGATTATAAACACCCATCACACCCCAAGGTTTCCTTGTGCCCTTTGTAATCCAGCTCTCCCTCCCGATCTCTACCGCACTCTCTGGGCCCCAGGTAGCCTCTGTCCTGCTTTCTGTCACTGTAGATCAGTTTTCATTTTCTGGAATGTTATATGAATGGAATCTGACACGAGGTACTCTTGTCTAACTTCCATCCGCCATCGTTTTGAGACGCATGCACGTCGTGCCTGTCTACAGTCCTCTCCTCCTTATTGCTGGGTACTGTTCCAACCACATGCTCAGCTCGTACCCAGAGTGTTCATTTTCCTTATTCGTGGCAGACATCGGGGGGGAGGAAGGGAGAAAGTAACCCACTCAGGATTTGTCTCCCTGCCCACCCCCCCACCCCCGCAATCCTTTTTGCACTGGGAGAGGGAAAAAGCAAGGGGATGGTGTGGAAGTCCAAAGTAACAACAGAGAAGAAAAAAGGATTAAAGGAATAGAAAGCAGGATTTAGAAGTGAAGGTTAAGGAGTCATGACGCTTGGAAAGGAGAAAGCAGAGGGATAATTTAAGGCTGTGACTTTTTTCAAATATACAAGAGGTTATTTTTAAAACAGGCAGCCAAGTAAGATCTGAACAGGCTCAGCTCGCTGTGAAAGAGCCCGGTGGAATGTAAGGGACCATCTCTATGGGAAAGGGATGATCAGATCCAG